CTATCAATATGTTCATATGTCATATGTTCCCAGGGCCATTTATTTGCTATATACATAATATCTGACATTTATGGACATTATGGCTTCCAGATAGACTCACTTAGTAAAATACACTCTGGCTATACATTTCTGTGAACAAGAATGATAGTCTGTTCAGTCATATCGTGTTTTGATAGATTAATAGATTTAATAGACTGAAAATCATATGTTCCCTGCTAAAACCAGCACAGACCAGCACGACTGCTCACCGGCAAAATGAGCATATGTTATGTTTTGCTGGTCAACCAGCACGACCATGCAGGGTGACCAGCTAAACCAATATGAACCAGCCCAAACCAGCTTTGGAATTTATGCTGGCCTGTGCTGTTTTTTCAGCAGTGTTAGTTGTCACCAGTTTTTGAACTACAACCTTTAGTAAGATCACGATCCAAAACATGACCATAAGACAGGGGTGCTCAATCCTGGTCCTGGAGATCTACCACCCTGCAGAGTTTAGCTCGAACCCTCGTCCATCACACTGGATCCACGTAATGAAGGCCTTCAGGGGCATCTGAATAATAGAGCCAGGCGTGTTGGATCTGAACTCTCCAGGGAGGTAGATCTCCGGGACCAGGACTGGGCACCCCTACCGTAAGAACTCCCTTAACAATATACTGAAGTATGATATAAAGATCTGAAGGAACACAGACTCCTTCCCTACGATATGTATCTTGGAAGCATATGACCACTAACTAGCATTGAGCATTGTATACTTAAATCATCACACACTTGTCAAACTGTTAGGTAAGAAAAAATTGCTTAGGTGATTTCTAACACTGTATGACATGCTGTTGTCTACAGAGCCCCGGAGGGGACGGAGTTTAAAAAAAAATTAATTCGAAGTGTAAGTTTTGCAGTTTGTACGCACGTTTTCTTTTATTCGTGGTCGAGATTTCTTAAATCGTTCTCTCGTTTTCTTTTAATTGTGCGCACGTTTTCTTTACTTAGTGGGTACGTTTTTTTTCTGTTCGTGATCACGATTTTCTAATTTGTTCTCGTTTTCTTTTAATCGCGGTCATGTTTTTATTTTATATTTTATATTAAACTTTAATTTTATTTTTAACTGAACGCACATTATTTGTGTTTTGATAACAGCTACCTGAGACTGTCTGACGGGTTTTGATGCATTAGATTGATGAGATAATGAACAGAGATGCTCATCAGGTTTGATTTTGATTTGGGGGGTTATGAGGAAACTGCAGCTCCTCTTCACAGCAAACCGAACACCCACGGTGTTTCTGCTCTCGCGTCAAGCTGCGCTGTTAGAGACCATCACACAATTACAGGACGAAATGATCAGCGTTTCAACATCCTCACATTAATATATCTACATCTAATCCATAGATCTGTTAAAATCTCTCGCCATTTGACCTCATCCCACATTAATGTTTCTGTGTGTGTTTAATTTGAGTCTGTTGAAACCTTGACGCTGAGCATTTCTTCCTGTAAATTTGCTCTTGTCGCGGGAGCAGAAACAGTGCTAAGCGTCTATATCTCTGTTAAATGTGATCATTAGAAAGTGCAGTTTAGTGAAGATTTGGTTATGGTTTATTGTCTTCCGTCATTTCACCACCAACGTGCAGCTGCACTGGCAGTTTCCTCATAACGCCCCAAACTAAAATCAGACCTGATGAGCATCTCTGTTCATTATCTCATCAGTCTAATACATCAAAACCCGTCAGACAGTCTCAGGGAGCTGTTAGTTACTCCTGCACAGCACAAATAACACGACCTGTATCTACTATATTGATTTTGCGCACGAATAAAAAAATAAACAATGTGCGTTCAGTTAAAAATAAAGCATGAGAACGATTAAAAGAAAACGAGAGAACGAATTAGAAAATCGTGATCACGAATAAAAAAAAAACCTACCCAGGAAGTAAAGAAAACGATTTAAGATAACGTGACCACGAATAAAAGAAAACGTGCGTACGAACTGCAAAACGTTCACTCGAATTATTTTTTTTACCTCCGTCACCTCCGGGGCTCCATAGTTAGCTATAAAACTGAGTAAAAGTATAGATAACATTAAGGGCTGAATACGGGTGCCAACGGTTGCTAAGCGACGTAGACTAGCTACGTTTGTCCATTTATAGATACAGAATGGCATACAGTGTCAGAAACCACATAAGCATGTTTATTTGAAAGTATTTCACGACTGAACAGGGGTTGGGTCAAATGCGTGATGATTTAGGCATGAAATTTGCATGAAAATTCTTCAGTACACTTCTGTTAGCTAGCTATATTAGCCTTGTAGCTAACTTACAGAGAAAACTAAAGAACTGACTTTCAGACACCAAACGTCTTGGCCAGGGGTCGGTGACCCAAATGTTCAACAGACACTTCTCCAAATGTTAAGAAGAGCCATTTTGTTCTCTCAACAGAAATCAATCCACCTTGGGAGCCACAACATTTTATGTCCATTTTACCATCTTGGCTGTAAATATGTCTCAGTGTGTGCTAATGTCCTAGTATAGGCTACAAATATAATACAAACGAAGACGCAGACCTACTTTGCTCTGCTTTAAACCTAAGCTAGTTTAGCTACAGCCGGTTTTCTCTCAACGTTCAACGTTTTACGAGGCTGAAGTCGCTTCTTATCCGCCAGCTTCTTGACTGCGCTATAGTTGGTTTCATATTCGCATATTCGGATTTCTTTCTTCAACAGCTTTCGACTTTTTGTTGCTGACATCCAAACTAAGCAGCCACCACTTCGCTGAAGTCGGAAAGGTTTGCCGTTTAAAAACCACGGCACACGTTCATTTCTATGGGCCGCCGCGACCGCCGATAGAGTTAAGGGACTGTCTACAAATTACATTACACAATAAACAAAAGTGAAGACCGACGGGCAAAAAGCAGTTATTCGAATTTTCCCGTTCCATCTTAAATAGTGCAGCACAAGTTCGTAAAAGAAGCTGACTTCAGCTTCATGACTTTTTAGTGACAGTTTCTCGTTGCAGATTAAACGTATCAGAAAACCAACTGAGTGATTATAAATGCGGCTAAGTCAATTCCTCTCCAAATTCTCGATGTTCGTCTTAAATCTCTCTCTTTGCCTTATCGTTAGCTATTAGCCAGGCAGGACTGTTAGCTATCTGCATTGCTATGGTGACCAGCAGTTTACGCGCCAGCCTTCACGAAACGTTAGTGAATTACCAGATATACATTAACTCCAGCCTTTGAGACCATTTATTGTAAAAAAAAAAAAAGAGCTTTATTTTACTGCAAAGGAGGATTATTTTATTTTTACCTAAAAATCCAATTCTGCTGTGGAGCCGCAACAGTACAACGATTGTAAAAATTGATTTTTCACCAAACTAATGCTTTCAGTTAAGCTGATTGAATTAATTGGCAGCATTGTAACAAGACAGTATGGGTTAGTTTCTGTCTTTGTTCTGGGAAGGAATTGTGGTTCTCATGGCTGCTTGTGCTGTCAAGTTTAATACAATTAAACCAGCGTCAATCACCCTGTGCTTGGGAACACATACCACTCAGTCAAAGGTAATCAAGCACTCACTTCTACGCAGTTCAAAAAGAGTGAATTAAGATGATTCAGACTTGGGGTCTGCTCCATTTAATCATATCCAGTTCTAAAGAATTCAAATTAGAGATGAATGATGAGTTTCAATTCAAGTCTTAAAGTGTTTTCAATCCATTTTCTAGGTTTAATTTAACTCTCGAGTCGTCTGAAAGTGATTGTCATTTTGCTCACATAATAGAACACAAGCTTTTCTGAATTAAAGCAATGTGCTGGCTAAACAACTTCAAAAAAAGGGAGAAGCCCATTTTTAATTCAAATATATTCAGCAACTGGATGTGACATCAAAGACAAAGCCCAGCTACACTCATCTGTCTTGTTGCTGTATATTTAAGTGAGTGGCCACCATCATTTAACATCATCCACCACTTCCAGGGGGATGACCAGGGTGCAGGTGTCATGAATGAGGTAGTTCATCAAACCAAGGTTACAAAATAATAGTGCTGGTGCAGCACAGATCTACAAATAACCCTGCTGCAGATTTTACAGTCACCATGTTTCACCAGCTGCAATGAAAGCCAGGTTCTTTTATGGGACTTTGTGATAAGTAAATAAGTAAATGAATAAATAACTGTCAAAAATCAGGGACAACCCTTCATTTACGTAATTTGCAGTCAAACCAGCATTAAGTTATTCAGTTTCCAGGAGATATTTCTGACAACACTCAATATAAGATAAGCCATTTGTATAAGTAACAGAAAACTCAAAGAAAATCAAAAATATTAATAAAGAATATTGATAAAATCAATCTCAGTAGGTTTTTGATTGTTTTCTAAATAGACATAAATGTATAAACATATCCAAGTTATCCATGGTAACCAGCTTTATGATACAGAACTGACAATTCTAGATTAGGTTGAAAGAATCATTTAAAATTAGTATTATTTTAGAATATGTAACTGGTAGCCAATTTAGAGGCAGCCTTTATAGAACTGAGATTTAAGAACCTGGAGCAATGCAGCACAACCTAATATACTCACTGCTCATCACCAAACCCATTTAATCTACTGTTTACCAGTAGTGACCACCTGAGACCAGCCGCTGCATAATGCATTTACCTGCTGGATAAAAATACCACTACAGGATGTTTCCCCTCTCAGTTCACCTTCAGGCATTCACAGACTGCAACATACAAGCTGCTGAGAGCATTGAGGGATTTGCTCCCTCCTGCAGTGCAAGAGTATTAAGACAGACTTGTCCTGCAGTTACTTTGTGAGATCAAGAGTTAAGAGTGAAGCTCCAGTGGAGATTTGATTGAAAGAGACATGCCTGTAAATACAGAGGTTGTCGGTTAAAGGTCATCCACTAGATTCACAGTAAAGAATGAGGGTACCCTACTAAAACATTAAGAGAAAAATAATGGGATTTTCAATAATTTTCACAGAAATTGCTTTTGAGCAAGACATAAAATGAAAACATGAGAAAGATTCCAACAAAGTTTCTTTATTTACAAAATCTCACAGTAAATGCATATTGAGAGCAATCCACCATGAACATATTGGGTTCAACCTACATAAAAAGACAAAAGTAAATTAAAACAACTCAAAAAAAAAAGTAATGTGTCCAGATGAAACCAAAAGGCTCCTCAGAGTCTCACTCGAATAACCACTTCAGATCAGGTCCGCCACTGAGGGAAAAAAAAAGAAAAAATAATGCAAAAGGTCTGATGGAATGAGATCATGATAGTTGTTTCTGCAAACAACCATGACTAAAGACAAAGACTCCAACAAGAGAGGCACAGAAGAAATTGTCTAGGCATGCATGGATGTTTGATATAGTCTGCCAGAAAGTTACCCTAAGCCCACCCTCTCACCCAATGAGAGAACAGTTTTATACTACATCATTTATTAAATTCTTATTTTTCTTTTAAAAAGTACTTCAGTAACAAAATAGTCTGTTTTTGTAAATGCAACCAGCAAGTGGACTGTAACGTACCATTCATTGGCATTTCATCAATCTGTGTTGAGTAGTACTGCTCAATATCACGAAGGATGCGGATGTCATCATTCTTCACGAAGTTGATTGCCACACCCTTGCGGCCATAACGTCCTGATCGTCCAATTCTGCAAAGGGAAAGGTCATTATACGACTGCTTAAGGTTCTCCACAGAGATATTCTGACAAGACATTCAATTTTAATTTAAGAGGTAAACTCCAATCTGTTTAGTTTTTCCCAAGTTTTCACGATTTTTTCGCAATCATAATTTTAGGAATTCATTTATCTGCAGTGTGTTTGATAAAGCATTCATACCTGTGGATGTACAACTCTCTGTTGTTGGGCAAGTCATAGTTGATGATAAGTGAGACCTGAGGCACATCCAACCCTCTGGCCCACACGTCTGTAGAGATTAGCACTCGGCTACAAAAACAAAACAACAAAAAACAACCATCAGTGCATGAGGACCAGAAGCGTACAGATACTGACATGTCATTCAGACTATTAACCTGAAACTGAGCTGCAAAATGTCATTCCTCAATCATTTCACTACATTGGCCTCACTAAGTCAACCAACAATACTGACAGTCAAAGTAATATAAAATATGCAAATGAACATCTAACCAAAATCACTGAATGCTTAATCGTGTGCTATGAGCACCTTAACTAATCACATGTGGTTTTTGGGTGTTCAGATAAATAAAAGCATACTAAACGATTCAACAAAACTAATATTATTTAGTTATATATTTAATCCTTCACCATGTTACGTCAACTTTACTAATGTGTTATCAATATACTTTAAGATACACTATTCCCAAATAGAATTAACTGTCAATCTAGCAAGAAAATGGGTGCATTCAGAGGGTAATTAAGACAATAGTTTAGCTGCATATTTCACATTTCCTGCAAAATCATAAAATATTGCAATGTGACCTCATTTAATTATAACCTAAATCACTCTCCCACACATATATAAACATACTAGGTGCTAGTACTTAGTTTCAAAACAGACACAGTCAGGACAAAATGGGTGGACAGCACTCTTTTTACCATACCAATCACTTAGCCCCACAACACAAATGTGGCCCTGCCTAAAAAGAGCCTCAGCTTGTCAGGCTGGTTTTACCTGGCTCCAGATCGGAACTCCTTCATAATAGAATCTCTCTCTTTCTGTGGCATGTCTCCATGCATAGAAGACACAGTGAAGTTTGCCTCCCTCATCTTCTCAGTCAGCCAGTCCACCTACATAAAATAAGGAAAACCTAAGTGAACCAGTGATCAAAGACTCAAGAGAACACACCAATGAAGTAAAGATCAGACAGGCTGGCACTGTGCAAACTTTATGCCCAAATCATGACATACGTGCTAGAGACCACATGTATGTCTATTTGAGATTACTCAAAAACCCAATGCGCTTTAAGACCAGTGATTTTCAAACTGCCGGTTGCAACCCACTAGTGAATAAATTTGTGAGAGCATGTGCCATATACATGTATCCATTCACACCTCCTATTTGCCTACTGGCAATAGAATCTTACAGGGCATGTGGCAGAACAAGAGCTTATTTCCTGACTAAACGTACACACATAGCCACGAAAAAAATAAATTAAACGCTGGAGCACATCTTCAGTATGCACAGGTAAAAGGTGTCACAGATACTGCCTGAGAGGATGCTCTTAACCTACAGAGGAACCCCTTAGCTGGGATTAATGGCACTTTTCTTTAATAACCTGTTATAGCACAGCAGTAATGTAACGCAGTAATGCCACAGGGAAGCCTACTTAAACCAAAGAAAATAAATATACTTGTGTTTCATCAGAAGCTTGCTAAGCAAACACTGTTCTTACTTGTATTTTTTGGTAAATATGGTTTTGGTAAAATCACACTTTTACTGCCTATAAATCACTTCCAGATAAAATAATAAAAAGGTCTAAAGCCATGGTCACACTGGACTGCCGCCTTGCCATTTTCTTCACAAGAGTGGAGCAAAAGTCAGGTGAGTACAATCAGTACAGATATAAGGTGGGTTCGGAGGGAATGTAAAGCTCAGTAAGCGGTTAATGTTATCTAGTTAAGTAGTTCGGCTGTTTTTTTTTTTTTTTGTTTTTTTTTTGCAACTGTGAGTGACAGTTTTAGTATTTTTCAGAAAAAAGATACCCCAGCTCGCCCTCTTGCCTTCTGACATTTCCAAGACTCACAAATTTGCAGGGTTAAAGTTCACCTAGATGAACTCTGCACAAAGCAAAGTTTAACGCTACTGAATGCAAACTGTTTTCTTGCATTCTCATGTCCTTGCCCTTTCTAGTCCTTTTTCACCAGGCAGGTTTTACTCACATTTAAAGCAGCATAAATGCACTTTTGTTTTCTAAGAACAAGTTTACATAAGACATGTCCAACTAAATATTAATACAATTTATTAATAAGTTCCTACTGAATGCGAGAGCTGAACAGACCCAATCTGCATCTAAATATATGTTTTGTCAATTTTTAAATTAGTCTCAGCAAGTATGTAAATAATGTATGCCTATGCATGTTTCATTCTTTCATCCTGATATACTATTCCATTTACTGATTGAAAGAACAGTAATATTGGGAAAATGTGGACCAAAAGTTAACAAAAAAGATTTTTTTTCGGAGTTTGTCTTCTCTCATCACAAAATATTTGACTAATCTCAAGACTGCCCTGTATATGAGGGTCTTGTCATCAAGAAGAATCCCTTATTTACATAATGACAAACAAATTGCACAATATTTAGCCTGTTAGCAATATGGTTAGAGTAACTGTTAATAATAAGTTCTGCACATGCACATGAATAGTGATTCATTTTTGTTTTTGTTTCAATCACTGAACATTACTCTTTTCTTTGTATAAAACCTTTCTTGCAAGGGTGTGTGATACTCACCTTTCGTTTGGTGTTGCAAAAGATGACTGCCTGTGTAATGGTGAGCGTGTCATACAGGTCACAGAGTGTGTCAAACTTCCACTCTTCTCTCTCCACGGCCACGAAGAACTGCTTAATGCCCTCCAGCGTCAACTCATCACTGCACACAGCAACATCATTTAAATTTTATTCCTTGTCAAGGAGAATGTGCATAAAACAAGCAAATAACACAAATGCTGGAAAGCCTATCAGTGCTCAGCATGAGTACTCAAATTTACTACAATTTCACTGGTGTTCTAAGGGTGAGAGAATGAGTTGGCAGTGGGAAGATTCTTATTCATAATTCAATAGATCAGACTATGAGCAGACTATCAGCTAGAGTTAAAAAGGCTACTAAGAGACATTACTGAAAGTCAAAAATATACTATACAATATCAATATAATCATCCTGTATAAATGCAGCTTTAAGTTCGGTAACATAGATGATTATTAGTGTTTATGTGTTAGAGATAGCAAACATTTTGTTCCTTACCGTTTGACCAGAATACGGATGGGATCTGTCATGAACTTGTTGGTCATCTCCAGGATCTCATGCGGCAGGGTGGCACTGATCAGAACCACCTGAGTGGCAGGAGGCAGGTACCGGTACACATCATAGATCTGCTCCTTAAAACCTACACACAGGGAGGAATGAGACCACAAGAGGTCACTATACTAACTACTGTGCTCTCACTCAGTTCATGTAATTTTAGAACAAGTAGTCTCTAGTTTAAAATGAGTCCTTGCCTTTGTTGAGCATTTCATCAGCTTCATCCAAAACCAGCATCTTAATAGCACGGGTCCTGAGACTTCTCCTGCGGATCATATCTATGGGAAGTAAAGGATTTTATAAATCAGTAAATCTGTCAAAATATTTTATTAATTCTATATTTTATGCATTAACCTATGTCCTATTTTATTGTTAAATATTTCTATACTCGATTGTTTAATTTTTTGCTGTACATTTCACATGGGTATGAATTAAACCAGGGTCACAAAACACAATTTTACCCAAATTTTAGTCCCCATTCTCATATGGGCCTAATCAGCCCTGGGGGGTTACTCGTCTATATGTTTCAAGGCAGTATAAGTCATTGGTTTTGAGTTTTGGAGCAGTCAGAATATGTTAAACATGTTTGATTTGTTCAGCCTTTTTCTGGTAGGCAATTGAAAATATAATCAATATTTTATCACTACACTGATACCTTTTATCATGATGAACAATATGTTTCTCTGAACATGTTATGTTTAAAGAACACTGACCATATGCATGTTTCAATAAAAATGGAGCATAAATCATTCTGTTTAATTGGATTTAGAGGAGTACATTACGTGAAATGCTGAGTAAAAGTCAGTGTACTCAGACGTTTTGATGGCTTTTAAATGTGCCACTTCTAGAGCATCGTTTCTAACTGTCATAATACCTTGAAACGCACCATGAAAATGTCTATGTATCATGATATATTTGTGTCATATTCCTCACCCCTAGTCTGGATTTAACTTTATCTGAATGAATTCCACAAATAACTCATGAAAACTGAGAGCACAAGAAAAAGCGAACAGATTGAAAAAAATGAAAACTGTCAATTGATAAAGTACTTAAAAAAACATCAGTATGAGCAAACTGATACATCCATGTTTGTTTTGCTATCTGTGTCTTCTAGTACTGGGAGACTGTTCTGTTTAGTTCAGCAACAACTTACAGATTGTGTAGTGTGTGATCCCTAATATTTCAATTACCAAAAAAATGAACAAAATCAGTCAGAAAGTGTGAGAGAGCCTGTCTTATTATCATCTATAAAAATTTTAAAACTTGTACCTCCAAGTGTAATGTGCCAAGAGAAATACAAGCCAACTCACCAAACACTCTGCCAGGGGTTCCTGCTACCACATGCTGACCATAGTCCAGCTTCCTGATGTCTTCCCCTACGTTTGTGCCACCAATGCAGGCATGGCACTGAACGTTCATGTAGTCACCCAACGCAAGCAGCACCTTGAAACAAAGGACAGGCACTATAAGACACTGACAAGGAACTATAGAGTTGTGAAAGCTGGCTGGACAGTAAATACTAGACACATTTAATGTATTAACATGTAATTTATTGCTAAATTGATGTTACCTTTTGGATTTGTCCGGCTAACTCTCTGGTAGGAGCCAAAATTAGCGCTTGGGTCTCACGCACCTGTACAGAGGAAAAAATAAACAGAGGTTCAAATAAGCAACTGATAAAACACATCTGAGTCTCACTTATGTGAGTGGACAACTACAGCAATGAAAATAGAATTGATGCTCAAATACCTGAATGTCTAGACACTGCAGGACTGACACGCAGAATGTGGCTGTTTTACCAGTACCAGACTGTGACCTGATCGGGGGAAAAAAATAAAAAATAAAAAAAAAACACAGCCATGAGGTTAGACGTACAGCTGAAACAGCTACATCTCCAAGAATTAAAAGAGGTTTAACTTGCATTTAGCAAGTAAACTACAAATAAACAGTTTCAAAGTCAGAAAAAAGTTGGAGAACTCACTGAGCAATCACATCTCTCCCCTTTATGATTTGCTTGATGGCTCTTTGCTGGATTGCTGATGGTTTCTCAAAACCTAAAGAAATGATCAGAGGTTACATTACGAAAATGATCCGTCCATGTATGAAGCAGTACACCTTAAAAGATGTGATAAGCAGTAAAAATCTGTATGCTCACTCAATGAAAAACAACACGGCTGAGACAAAATATATAATGTCATGGCTTTTATGGTCCTTCTGTAAATATTCAATTCAGGATTTAAAATAAAATTAGATACAAATTATAAAATTTAGCATTTTTACTTATACTGAAGCAAGATGCAAATAAGTTAAAAAGGAAAAACTTTTGTTTGAGATTTATTCTAATTGTAAAACCTTGGCGTAAACTTGCAAATGGTAAGCTTTTGCACAAGGATGTCAATGGTACTGGCCTCTCAAATTTGTTCATCAAAATATTATACATTCTTTCCAGCCATCTCTTGTTTGCTGGAACATTAACTTTTCTTGCTGATCTGTTTTCCTCTGAATATAAAATATCAAAACATTTTAAAGAAGTCTGGCTTTGCGATATCCAATGATTATTAAATCCTAGCATTAATTTATGTTGCACATTGTTCTAGTATTCACTTTTTGGAAAATGTTTAGTAAATATAGGTAAAGACAGATATGTTCACTCCAAATATCTGGAGCCACATAAACTGGCCAAAACCAATGTCTCCTCTGAACTTTTAGATTTAAATTCACGAGTAGCAATATTAAAATGTGGAATGGTTTTACTAAGCAAGACAAATCTAATTTCACAACTACAGTAACCATCCTTCACAACAAAAGCATGATTTCTACGCTCTTAAAAAGATGGATCTTCAAAGGTTCCATATAAAACCATTTCATGCCTAAATGATTCTTTGCATGGTGGAATAGTTCTCCAGAGTGCTTAAGAATGTGTGTAGCGCTAAATAAACCTTTTTGAAACTGGTTCTAAATGGAACCATATAGGTTCTTCAGTTGTTACGATGTCACGCTTTTAAGGTTTTTTGGAACTTTTTTGGTGCTACACAGACCTATGTTCAAAGAGGTTCTACACACAACCAAGTTAGCTACATAGCTACAACACATTTCCCATCAATCGGAAGAACCATTTTACCATGCAAAGAACCATTTAGGCATGAAATGGTTCTATATAGAACCGATTCCAGTTCTAAACAGAACCACTTTCTTAACTTAGGAACCCTTGAAGAATCATTTTTAAGTGTGTAGCATTGTTAGCATAGCTGCTTCAGGCGGAAGCTAACAACACAGCTTGCTAACTAGCTAACGTTAGCCAGTGTGCTAACAACTCCACAGAAAGCCATCACGTTACTTATTAAATAGACAAATACCATCTAATAACAACTTAATATGAACCACTACGTGTTCCCTAGTGTTTCTAAGTGCGACAGGACTTTCTGCTCGACCCTGTAAAAGCCAGGAGTAGCGGTCGGAGACCGTGTTTGTGTCCGGGAGCCAGGCTCCGATCCGCGGCCTGTACCGTAGGCGTAGATTCCGCGGAGCAGATCCTCCCGGAGGCCCATCGTATCAAACGTCGGAGTCACATCCACCTCCTCGCTCGTCTCAAACTCGATTTTCGTCATATCTTCCTCCTTCAGGATTCGCTTTCTTCCACCTGCGGGAGCCGCCGCCATGTCTGTAGCGCAGTAATGTAGTTAATCTGTAACGTTAATAAACCGGTTTACAGCGGAGCTGCGGGAGCGGAGCAGAAAGCGAGCGAGCGCAGACGGCGCGTGTATTACAGAAGTGACGCACAAAGCATGCGACGGAGTGGAGAGTGGCGTGTCGGCTGGGGGGCGCACTCCAATATCCGCACTTGTGCTCTAACTAGGGCGCCTAGTTAGTGCGTAGACGTCTAAAACGCTTAACGTGTATTTTTTTTAATTCCAGTGAAGGGAATCAATACTAATGACAAATTATGTACCGTTAATTATAAATTATATATTTGTAGCATGTTAAAGAAAAGTTGTGGCATGTTAGTTTAGGATATGTGTTCTCCAATTTACTGCACTTTGGTCATTTTGCCATGGACTCTAATTGCAAGGCTAGGAACTGCCCCGGAGTGTGTGTATGTGTGTGGAGAAAGACAGACATAGGTGTTGTTAAAGAGAGAAAAGCTTCACTTATGTAAGGTGTGGCTGTGACAGCAGCTGGAAAATAAAGCACCACGACTTGTGCAAAAGCAGTATTTTTTTAATAGCAGTGAGTGCTTCAGATAACTAACTGAACCAGTGGGGCCAGTGCCCTGTGGCCTCTGATTGCCAGTGTGGGTGCAAATAATGCCCTTACGTGTAATGACAAAATAAATGCCCATACCATGCCACTATATTTAAAATAATTAAAAGCCCTTAAAACCAAAAATGTGCTATAAAACAGGAAATAATAGACCATTAGTTATTCTTTGAGAATTAGTAATTTTGGTTTAATTAATTTCTTTTTCCAGCACTGGTCATCGTGCACATAAACAAACTTTTATTTATTTATACGTTTTATTAAAGGGCCCATATTCATTTTTTAAATTAAAATCTTTCCATTTTCCAACCTCTCTTTATCAATTACAAAGGCGTTTTTGTTACTGTGCCTTAAAAATGAAAATATGTAAATAACATCTGTTCTGATTGGCTACCCTGTATTATACCTCATTCAAAAAGGCACGCCAGACTGAAACACTCATCACATGGAAAAATGTAAGTGAGGGTGGGCAGAGCTAAATTGCTGTAGACTGAATAGGCAGGTATTTGCAAATGCACAGATTTTCATGGCGACACTGAAACAGTGAATTTAAAAAAAACTTTTAACAGCTTAGTTTCTGTATATGGACTGTATAGACGGGGGTGTGAGTGGTACATTTTAAGACTTTAACAGTGTTGATATATCAAGTGCTTTTATTGCAAAAAAGTGAGGAATTCAAGTTTTCCATAAAATTCAAAGTCACTCCTAAATGTTGGGTGCACAGAAACAACCCAGTCATCAGTCATATTTCAGACAGAGTTCATAATTAATAAATTAAAACAGCAACACACACACACACACACACACACACATTTTCTTAGCCGCTTATCCTTTTGGGTCATGGGGGGAGCAGGAGCCTATCCCAGCAGTCACTGGGCGGAAGGCAGGATGTACCCTGGACAGGTCAAAAACAGCAACAGACATTGAGACATGCACAAATAAGAGTTTTCAAAAATCTCCACCCTAAACAGTATTTTGTTTTGTTAAATCTTTTTTCAGTGAACAAAAAAGTTGCTTTTGTGTGGACGGGAGGCCAAAACAAAGAGAAAAATTATGTTTTTCAAAAAATCTGTATACATGCAGAAAAGGCTTCAGCCTTCCATCAACTTGAAATACTTTGAAATGGTGTGTGGTGTTTAAAATTACAGACCCTAATTACTGGGTAGATCTCTAGCCTTCATTGGTAATATGTTCCAAAACTACTGGGGTCCATTGAGTCCACCAGAATTAAACTTCCATGTTTAGACAGCAGAATTACAGTGTTTTTCAGTTTGTGTTCTTTCATTCTCATATTCTTCATATCATCTTTCTGTCCTGTGCAAGTTCAATTATGTAGTCAAACGAAAGAAACAGTGATGACGTTGAAATGCGTTCCAACGGCAGCAGTTTCAGCTAAACTGAATACAAGCAGACTGGTAGGTTAACACTAGTATTCTTACAGTGGGCTACCTTACACGAGTTCAACAGTACATAGAAACCCAATCAGACCTCACATCTGGTGATAGTACATCACTGAAACAAGATTATTGCTATCTAATGTGTTATATTGTTTCTTACAAATAATTCTAATTCTTTTTACAGATTTCCAAGAAACAGCCCTGGAGTGATTCTCCTCTTTTTGAATCTGCTGATTTCTTTTGCTTTGATTCCTTTATTAAGGAGCCTATATCACGGAAAGTGATCATATAAAATTAATTAGGTTTTTGGTACATAACCCTGCAAAAAAAAGGAAAAAATGTAGCAGATGTGCCCATTAAACTCAAGATACAACTCAAGACTGCATTAAGGCCAAGAAGTACAAATAATACGTAGCTATTTGCAAACATTTGGGTCAAATGACGTTTTGTTGATTTAAGTGATTTAACACATCCTCTACAGAGAACACACTTCTGCACATTTTAATGCACAATTACTGTTTATTTGCAGAATTAAACATATTCAAAAAATTTAAATATATAACTTGTGGCCTGTGCTACAATTATGGCAGATTTTATATTTTGTGTTTTTTTTTTCAATGTTTAAAAACCTAGCAAATAAATAGAAAAGCACTAAAATATGCAGAAAAACACATTTACATTTGTTTTCCGTAGAGGACGTGTTAACATTCACTTACCAAATTAACAAAACACATAACTTGACTATGTGTTTAAATGCACAGATTAGAGTTTTCTCTTCCTTCACACATGATGTGACCTCAGGATTTCAATGCGTAACCAGGCAAAAAAAAGGCTGTTTTTAAATATTTCTGAACTAGTGTGGGATATGTTCACATAGGTTTTTCATCTTGCTTATCAACTACAAAGACGCAAGTGGAGGGTTTGGGGGAACATAGAGTAAGAACAGCCTCAAGCTGTAATGTAGCATTCTCCATTAAAAATCAAGTTTAGCCTGGGCTTAGACTTAATCTGGATCCAGGAAATTATCCCAAAGACTTTTAAAATGAAAAGCTTACACATTAAGACGGATTGCAAACCTCTTCTAGCATGATTTTAGGGGTCTGCAGCTTGTTACCTAGTATTGGCAAACTTACAATATATTGTATGTAGTTGTATAAAGGAATCCACAGAATGAAAATATTTAGTTAAATAAGACACAGATCTTGTTCCCTCAGCTTTTACACTACCCATTTACATCTTTATGAACTGTTTGATAGCTGTTTGGCTTTGAAATACACTTTTTACCTTGGATTGATGCAAAATGGTGACATTCACATCACTTCTTTCTAACTCTATCTCTGTTCATCTGATAGTATCCTTGCTGACAAGAAGTTTCCCCAAAGTCCTGCAAACATGCAAGACATTGTCATTACATGCTTACAACAGACCTTTGGTGTAAACTCATTCATTTCATACACACCATCATGTCCAATTTAGGGACAGCAACATTAATGAGACTTGCTATTATTGAAACTACTGTAATTAAACACTTCAAATGTGGGTGAAAGCCTGTCGATTAAAAAGGTGCCCCTCTCAATCAATTAAAATAACTACATGAACAATTTTTTTTGTTGCAGGAGCAGGCGTCCTCCCAAGAACTAACCAGTTTTTAAAATGCAAAAAAATAAAATGGCCTTGCCCCTATTTATGTTATTGAAAACTTTCAAGCCAGTGAGTTCACTAAACTCATTATATATTCTTTTGCATTCCTGTATGACTCTGGTCTTGTATGGCTGTAGTTAATGAAGAACAAAGAATCAGAAAAGAAATCCTGCTCAAGACTCATGAATTTATTGTGGGATGTTCAATGGGCCACACAGAAAAACAGAGTCCAAGACATGGAGGTTTTAATCTGTACAAAAACTAAGTCCCAGCCTACTGGTCCTTCATCTCCTTCAGTCTCTTGATGGCGGACTTGACTGTGACAGCAGATGTTGTGCTAGGAAGAACAGTAAGAGCGTGTTAAAGAGGCCGAACTATTCAAAGTTTACTACACTATGATAAGTACATACTTAATTACTAAAAAACAGCCATTATTAAAGATCCTTACTTGTACGTCCAGGCACCTCCAGCTACAGTCTTCATGCAGGATCCACAGTGCCAGATGCCAACAGCCCGTCTCTTCATCTTAGTCTGAAGGTATACAAGAGTCATTAGCAACATAACATTACGCTGTAATCGTACAAACCACACACAAACTAAAATTTAATGGCTTAGTGAACCCAATCAATTTAAGCTTGCCAGCCATGAATGAATCATTACTGCCTCCAACAAAGACAATAGTGTCAGTGATTTGGTCAGGACTGGAGCAATGGTGTAACAGTGTAAACCACAGCCCATTTTAAGGTTAGGATTAAATGTTTTATTGTCCTAATATGACCAATTAAGTTTTAACTGCCTTTTTTTGGCCAAGTACTCTGCGAAGATCTTAATAAGCCACTTTCATGAACCAGTACCCCGACAACAGCCCAGGCAACATGCAAAAAAGTGCATGTAATAAATCATAACCATATTTAGAGCTACAACATACAATTGTCAGTGTGCTACACTTTTCTGGTCCCATGCTCTCCTTCATAAATACTCCAGCTTTAAACAAACCCACTTTTTTTATATAATTTACTAGCCAAGCCACTATAAACCAAGTGTGCCCTCAGTGGGTATTTTGTGTGTGTACACAATCTACATGCATCTACAACAAATAAACACCCAGCCAATGGGAACTTTGTAAAAGAGACAAAAGGAGACTCGGCAATATTTACGATTTACAAGCCACAGAAACTGCTACAACTGCTAGCACAGGTAAGAAACATGGTGATAGTTTTTGTACTGTAATAAATTACATCATTTTTCTTTTCTGAGTATACTGTGGATATCAGCACTTACCATTTCTGTACACAGAACAGTTAGGCCTGTTTAACTGGATATGGTACAGCACAGTGTGAAACGCTAAACATTTATGTGCCATTACTGGTTTATTGATTCTCTGTTCCAGAAACAAAATGCTGTGATTTACTGGTAACCCCATCAAAACTTATGCCTGTCATCTTTTGGAAAGCTCAAAACAGCCCCAGCACCATTTTAACAACAATTACTGATTAAGGCTTTTAACCTGTAAACATTTCACCCAATACTCACCTTGCCGCAGAAGGAGCAGGTGTACTTAGAATGCTGGCTGATCTCAATTTTTTTCACCATCTTCCTGAGGGAAGCACCATAACGGGTGCCGTATTTCCCCACAATTCCCACCTTCTTGGTGCGCTTGGCCTGTAGTAAGGAAAAGCGAGACAAACAAGAGTAACAATCAATGTCTTTCCCACATTTCTGAAGAAACAACCACAAAAGACATGCACATGTATGTTTAGGATTTTACCTGTAGCTACTTAATTCTGTCAGGACTTCATTACAAATACTGACAAGGTACATTAAGGCCAACCTCAATGACCTCTCAACCCATTACACACGTCACAGACCTCGCAAGACTGCACAACTACAGCAACCAGTCTCAATGTAAAACCCTCCAAGCGCAAATTCAGGGCTTCTCCCACCTCTTTTAACGGAACACGATAAACACCATTCTAAGTTAATGACCTCCACTTCACATTTTAAGGTTTATCTAACGTTGATTACTAACGATGCACTTAAGTTACTCCAGAGCAAAAGTTCGACCACCATTATCTTAACCTCTGTCACAGCGGTCTCTGCCTGGCGGGCTACACTACCTCACCTTAGATTATTCAGCCCTAACGAACAGCGTAGTCCACACGCATTTCTACTTTATAAACGCCACATGAACTTTTCAGACCCGTAATATTTACCGCATAAAACCGCTACAACCTCTGCCTCCGCTTCGCTGTCACTGCCTGTAGAGTAACGACAACACACCGGGTGAGCCTAGCTGCTGGTCGGCTAACCGCCCCAGCAGAGACGATATACGCCGGCAAATGCGATTATACTCCAGTATATGCGAGTATGCTGGAGTATGATATATGATCCGCTCCAGCATGTACATCCACTGGTATATTTTACTTCCCAACACTTTGTTTTATTCTTTGCCTACACCGTCCTTAGATATGTAAAAGGGGCTATGCAAACTGAAGTGGTTATTATTATCATTATTAACATTTACTAACAACTACTTGGACGTAGTCACTTCATACACTTTTCAGATGGGTATAGTAGCTGAATATAAGGTATTTCGGACAGGATTGAGTGGATTTAGGTGGATTTTCCCGTCGCTGTAAAATCACTCACCATTTTAGCAGAAGAGGTGCGAAGCCAAAAGAGGGAGGGGAAACTGCGCATGCGCGATTTACCGTCGTTGTAGACATTGCATGCTGGGATATGGGAGGACCAACTCATCGGATTCAGACGCGAAAATATTATTTAAAAAGGTGCACACTATGTAAATGTACGGAATAAATTAAATTCAACATTTAATATATATTAATATATTCAGGATTCGATATTTAGGCTGTTTGTGGTCGTATCAACATATAAAAAACAGAATTTTGTGTTGTGTGCTGTGTTAATGTACACGCTTTCACTGCGAAGGCTTTAATTGTAGTAAATAATGAGTGATTTAAGGGAGAATCACATCACATTTTCTCCACTGGAGGGAGATCCATTCCACACATTCTCATGCATATATGGACACCCTTTACAGCACTGCATCACATTTTCTCAACTGGAGGGACTCTTCTTCATGAGAGGAGCACCTAACTGGGCACTTCATCATGTTTTCCCAGCTGCAGAAGTACCCTATGCAGCACTGCACCCAATTTTGTCTGCTGCAAAGGGCACAATTTGGGACTCTGTCATGTAGGGCAGGCATAGAGGGCACTTCTATTCCTGCCCCCACCCCAGTCTGCCAGAGCCAGTTTATGAGGAGCCTGATCTCTCTTCCTATTCCCCTCGCTATATAAAAAAACAGGACTGCTAAACAGCAGAGGGCGCTCGCGAGGGAGTCCTCAATGAATGGGAGTAAATGGCGCTCAAAGGCTAATAGTTTCTAATCACTCGCCCAGAACGTTTCTCTAACTTTAGAAAGTAGAAGGATGTATTTCACTAAAAAAGCAAAGAAAACGTATTTACTCGAGTTTAAAAGATCTTAAAAATATAACCGCTGTGTTAAAATGTTTTATGCTGTTCTGTGTTCAGGAAATTAATGTATTCTTTTATATTAAAAATGTTTATGCATTTATAAACTATGATTTTACTCAAATGCTCCATTTTAACCCATTCATTCTGGAGCGCCCTCTAGCGTTTAAGAAACCCGGAAGACATTACAGAGTGGTACTTCCCCTCTCTACAAGTTCTCTGATATTAATAAGCTAAATATGCACAAAATCATGTTTTATAGGATATTTTCTACTGGGTGGTGGCTGCCCCAAACCCTAACCCAGTGGTCTGCAACCCTGGACTCCAGGGGATTTCCTTGCTTAACTCTAATTCATCTGATCCATCCTTGGGAAGAGGTTGAGCAGCAGGTGTGGCGAAGTGTGGTAGCAACTAGGCTTTGCGTAAGGGTAGGTCTTCAGGATCAGAGCTGGAGACCACTTCCTAACCCCCAAATTTCATCTTGTGAAAATTATGCTTACATTATTTTTTTCTTTTTTGTTTTTCTTGGCATCTTATCACATCTACACTAATAAATATCAAACAATTGTACTGACCATTTACTTATTTTATGTCCTATTATATACTATTAAAGGGCCCATTTCCTATATTTTTCTTGTGTTTTATATTTTCTCTCTGAGGTCCACTTGTAACATTAGTGACGTTTTATGTAACAGTCACACTTCGTTTTGACATGACCAACCTCTGTCCTTTAAAATTCAACAGGCTGTTTTTGTTGCTGTCGCTTTAAAACTGATTTGTGTCAATAAGCTCCATTCTCACTGTCTTGTATTGTGCCTCAAAAAGCAATCCAGGCTGAAACACTCCTTATAACTTCAGTGTGAATGGGTGGGGTTAAACTGCTGTAGGCTGAATAGGTGGATTTCTGTAAATGTGTTGGCTTTCGTTACATCACAGAAAAGATGAATTCAAAACAGGCTGCTTTTTTGCAGCTTAGAACGCAGCTCTGTAATGACTGGGGACTGAATAATGTGTCTTAAAACCAAGCAAATGTCTAAACTACATAAAAGTTTTTGTTTTTTTTTTAAAAAAAGTGAGAAAAATTCAGTTTTCCTAAATATGAGCCATTTAATTAACCGACTTTATCGTTATTCATTAATTCTTCTTTCTCTTTATTTGCTATATCACTATAATTGTATATAATACTAATTAGAATAGCTTGGATTTGACTTAGCATAAAATAACAACACAAAAGAAAAGTTATTGTAATTGATACAACACAACTATATTGGTCCAAGTGATTATCAGAGCAACACAGCTGGAAGCAGAACTAGAATGTATTTATCCAAGAACAGCATCAAAATTTCAAGTGTTACTTTTATCTTCAATACAAAGAGAGAGATGACTGTTACAAACATACATGTATAGAAAGAGATTCAGGTTTAGGCAGGAAGGTTCGGATTGCTTTTAAAAATACTGGACAGTCCCTTTTGGAGATTAGATCTAGTGCACACTGGCATATATTAATTTCACATAAAGAAATACTAAATCTTTGTTACTTTTAAATACATTTGCAGCATTCTGATTACTGGGGTTATAGTTACATTGAAAAAGAACCATAACACAATACAGTGGATTCCAGTACGGTGAGTGCAATAAACGCTACCGAGTGCACATGTACTGCAATGGCATTTAACACTAAATATACAACAAAGGCACAGAGGGACCAGATCGCTAACATTTCAAACAGCATCACATCAATTACGTACTATAACACTGTAAATAAGGAAACAAACTAGTGTTCAAACTTAATCAAGAAGAGAAACATATCTGCACGATTAGAGGGGGTATCATTACAGCCATTACGTTAATGGATTATTAAATGTGCTACTGAGGTCAGCTCCATTTTAGGAACTATAAAATTTCACAGGTGGGAAAGAGGTATTCAGGGTTTGTCAGTACTGGAATGGCAGGATTGTTAGCTCTGGCGCCCTCTGGTGGAGGGAGTGTATTTTCATCTCTTCAGAATCCAGTCTCTATGCTGAGGGTCCGGCGGGTCACGTGCTCTATATCCCCGGTCACATACTCATCAAAATGAGTCTGGTACTTGGCCAGCATTTTCAGCATGACACGCAGATTTATCCACCACTGCTCTTTTGGCATCCTGTGCCTGCAGAGAGACAAAGCAGGTTGTTAAATGTGCTAAAATACATCCCTCGAGTGCAAATGCTTGTTGCAATGCAGTGCAACAAATTAAAGCTCCAGATAAAACAATGTAAAATATTTTCACTTTTGTTTTGTTTGATGCTAAATTTAAGTTTTATACTAAACATCCAGCAATGTTTGAATGAAAAATAGAAATTTAATAAAGCACTTAAAGGAAAGGCTTATCAGACCTATCTGAGGACTTCCAGAGGGGAGAGGGGGTCTTAATATTCTAATTAGCATGCTTGACTGACCTGTCCAAAACTCCAAGCCTGCTTTGCCAGCAAGGAGAAATGCCCCTTCTTGAGAAATGTGTAAAATAGACTCTACATATACAGGTGTACATTTACGTGCATATACACATATACATATACGTCTACATATATATGTGCTGTAGACGATCCCCACTGTGTCCCTAACTCAGTAAAATCATACTCCAGCTTTTATATGGTAACATCTTATAGAAGATGAGGTTTTTATTGACGATAGCAGCGGAAGAGAGTTTGGACGAAGCCACACCAGTGATTTGTAAAGGTACTGCTTATGTAAGCACTACCGAAGATCAGTAGTATTTAAAGCACATATTTTGTACATGCATAGTGTTTTCCTCAAGTGCAAGATTAACACACTTAGAAAGAAATTATGGATTTAGCTTCCGTGGAGCTTTAACTCACAGCCAAAGTAACACAGTGTGACACAACTAAATGCTAATCTAAGGAGAACGGTGCCACTCACTCAAAGTCAGTGTGGTCCTTGAGCTCCGTAACTGGGCTAAAGGACATCACTTTCCTGTTCATGCCAATGACGCATGCTGTCTCTGGAGCGTTGGCAAACACACGGCCTGGGATGGGGCAACATAAAAAAGGTTGACATGACACATTTCCAAACACTTCCGAGGTTCGCCTCACACAAAAGTAGGCTACTTAAAAATAACTTGACCAAGTTAGTGTTTTAATTTCCTTTGTTTACTGAATGACAAAATCACAAATAATAGCTTTTAATAATTAATAACCCTCTGCTTTCAGTAAACATTCACAGCATAATGAAATGGCACATAATTTTTCCAAATTTTTTTTTTTTAAGAGCCTTACTTAAGAACCATCACCTGCAAGCTAGTGCTATTTACTCTGGTATTAAAACACTGTTGTATTATCTAGTACAGTTTCTATTAAATAGTTTTTGCAACAGAAATCAAACAATTTCTGTAAAGCGCAGTTAAAACGGCTTTAAGGACAAGTTATTTGTTTTTCCACATATTCCTGAGAGGATATAAGAGGAAAGTTGAATGAAAAATAAATGAAAATTAAATTTCCAAAATGACTGAAAGATACAGAGAAAATAAGATTTCTAACAGTGCAAGATCTAGACCACCAAAACTGTAACCATCAGATAAACAGCACTTAAAGCTTTCATCTTCGAGAGAGAGGAGAAAATCAAGCTGCTTCAGATCTGAAAACATCCACAGGTGTTTCTGTCCATCCTTCCACTGTGAGAAGACAACTCAGCGCCATGAGTCCGAAAGGATGTGTAGCTGTCAAGAAGCCCTTACTGAGAAAGGTTTATGGTGTTCTCAAAACAATGGACTGACCACCCCAGAGTCCAGACCTCAACATCAACGAATGTGTTTGGGATTACTTGCATTGTGAGAGGCAGAAAATGCAACCAACTTCTAAGACTGAAGTCACTGCAGATTTCTTTGAAAAACTGAAAGCAAGTCTCCCGAAAAGAAACGGAAGCTGTAAAACGGCAAAGAGTGGACACTAAATACTGAAAAAAAAATGGTAACACTTTCTATGAATGTTACCTTTGTAAGCATCTATAAACACATTCATAACATGTTATAATGCATTCATAAGGCATTATAAATATGGCTATAAATATTTATAAAAATGCATTACACGTTATAGCCATGCTTATTATGCATTATGAATTGTTAACATAATACATCATAAGTACTGTTCATAACAAATTATAAGAGCTCATAAGTGGTATTTGTCCGCTCTAAGTAAAGTGAAGCGTACTGTACTAAAGCCTCCTCCAGTGTTAAGAGTGAGGCTTCAAGTTGAAATATTTACTGAAGGATTTACTGAAACACTAAAACATACATAATAAAGCACATTACAGGCTTTAAATGTCAGAGTTTAAACTAGAGCTGCCCTCAGTGTTTTACCCAATGTGGGAAAGTCAATGTACACCACCGTTAGCTTGGTATTTGTCTTTACTTTGCAGTCTCCAGGCTGGGACTGACAGTATAACATGTTATCAGCACTACTTATAATGCATTATATTAAAATTCATAATGTATAATAAACATGGCTATAACATGTAATCCAGTGTAATTCATTTTTATAAATGTTTATAATCATGTTTATAATGGTGTATGAAGGCATTATAACATGTTATAAATGTGTTTATAGATGCTTACAAACGTGACATTCATAGAAAGTGTTACCAAAATAACTTCTAATTAATGGCCATTTTGCCTGGAAATTAAATAAACAAGGGGTGGTCTATGGCTTTTGCACAGTAGTGTATGCCACTAAATAGTCCTACATCTGTGAGGGAAAATGCTGTCTTTCTTGCCTTACCTTGTCTGTGGGTCTCTTTCATTTTCTCAGTGAGCCACAGAACAGCCTTCACACCCATTTTGGTGCCAAAGTTCCTGTCAAAAGGTGTTGGGACCCCACCCTAAAACAAAAAAAAAAAAATCAAAACGCTTTTAACAAAATCCAAGCCTGCATAGCTCAGACACACAATATGGACCAGAATTATTATGTACAATGATACCGTTTAGATTCTGGTCAGATGGTCAAACTGCATTAACTTCTTCACCTGCTGTAAGTGTCCCAGGACATTAACCCTGCAGTCGAAGATACCCTTGCCCTCAGCTGAGTACAGATTGTGAATGAAGTCTGTTGTGTAGTGTTTGTGGCACTTCTCATTTCTGAAAAAAGGAATCAGTACTCAGTATCTCCTCTCTGTTAACATAAGATATTACCAGCATCAGACTTTTTTGGAAATCAGCCAGATCCATAAATATCATTCCCCAATCTGTCTGGATTCAACAGGTTAAAAACTTTAGGAACAATTATTTATAGGCCTGTTTTACTGATGGGTATGTAACAATCAATTTAAGTGTAAAGAAAGTGTAAGGAAGTGTAAGGGAGAGCTGGACCAAAAATGCTTATGTAGCTAACAATGATCAGAAGCTGGAAGCTAGTCTTAAGGAGCCAGGTGCGATAATGAGTCTTGGGATAACTAAATGTGGGTGGGAACGTAGACTTATTAGGGTGGGAACAAACTGAAGGAGAAATTTCTAAACTAATCCAATGCCCCATGAAGGTGGAGCTCAAAGTTGGGGACGATGGTGCGTTCGTCAACTTTGTTTGACAGACAACAAGCCTGTCGTTAGCCCATGATTGTAACCTAAGTTAGCATGACTTAATAGCCCCTCAGAAAACTCCAATTACACGTGTATGTGTGTGTCAGGTGTGCAGAGAACAAATTACACATGGTGAAAATAAACATTACTTTTACAAGGTGAAAAAAAAACAAAAAAAAAACAGTTTAGATAATGATAGTGTTCTGCTAGCTAGCTTGATTTGCTTGTGTTATCGATTACTCCAGTACACTAAATGCGAACAGCAGAGTTGTCCCCAGACGTGTATTCTTGCCCCACAAGACTAGCTACTTGCCACCAATTAGCATGGCATCATCTGCACAATGCTAAATGATGGCTAATTGCTGTCATTCAGTGTTAGCATCATTAGAATCGTTGGCTGAACTGTTCCTTGAAGTTCTGTACATTAACATCTTGCAATAAGTGTACGCAGAGATGAGCTATTAGCCTCCGTTTTGTATTCTTAAGCCGAGGTCAGACCCGGACCGCCGCCCCGCTGTTATGAGGTGGTGTTGGAGGGAATGTATAGTTCAGTAAACAGTTAACGTTAGCTGGTTAACAAGTTTGTTTTTTTAGTGCTAAGTGACACGGTTGCAGAGGAACGTTTCTCTGTTTAGTACTTTTCAGGATACGACAGCGCTTTAGGGCCACCGTTAATAAAAATAAAAACAGCAGACTCTGAGAAAAAAGTTGTATTATTTCGAGAAAAAAAGTCATACTATTTCAAGAATAAAGTCGTAATATTTGGAGGATAAAAGTGGAGTTCCACTCACTCCTTCTTCTTTGTGGATCATTTTGATTATCATTCTCATTGTCTGTGAAACTTATGCCCTCTTTGAATGGTGCGGAGATGTAGCCACCGATAGCTGTGTAGACGACCCTGCCTGAGATTCTCCTTCAACAAAACAGACAGACAGTTTCCTCCGAGTTCGTCTGGCTCCTTATTCTAAATAAACAGAGTTTCCTGCTCAGCCATTTCAGCAGTTTCTTACAAATAACAGGCTGGTGCTGATGTGCAGGAGAGACAGGGAGACTGAGTGTTTCTTTATGGGTGAAATCGATATGAAAGTATAACTCCACCAACTCACCGCCCCTCATTTAACACGAGGAGGTGCTGCCTTCCCTTTGCAAAGGCTTTGTCCACAATATTGCGACCTTTCCTGGTATTAATGCCACTTTAATGTCGTAATTCTACAATTTTTTTTTTTCAAAATATTACGACTTTTTTTTCTCTAAATAGTACGACTTTATTCTCGAAATATAATACTGTATGACTTTTTCTCAAAATATTAAGACTTTATTCTTGAAGTCTACTATTTTTATTTTTATTAACAGTGGCCCTAAAACGCCGTCATAGAAGACGCAACAGATAGCATTCTTTTTTCCTAGTGGTTGACACTTCCGAGGTTTGTGAATTCACAGGGTTAAAGGTCACCTAAAGGTGAAATTTAGCACTACTGGAAGTGAAGAGATTTTTCGGGATCTGGCATTCTTTCCCATTCAAGTGAATTGGCTTTTTTGCCAGGCAGATTTTACATGCGATGGGTGTGACTGTGGCTTTAAAGAGAAAGATCACCTCAGCACCAGGCCTCGCTGAATGTCATTCTTCATCTTCTCTGTCAAATGCTCCACATTCATCTGACAAACCGAAAAAAGCAAATCAAACTCATTACAGTGTGTTTTGTAGGTCTAAAACATGCTTGACTGGTGGCACTAGCATTAAACCTTTTATATCACTGCATATTCATTCCTATGAAAATCCCTCTAACCAGCATTAGCACATGCTTGACTTGAGATGCTAGTGGGCTTACAGGGAGGGTCACCTGGGTCTACCCTAAGTATTCAAATATTGCACTTAAAAATGTAAGGTTCAAACAGCAGAGTTTAGAATTTACCTCCAAGTCATGGATGTTGAATGATTCTTCAAAGATGTAAGCTGCATCTGCCCCCACAGCAATGCCTGTGGTGGTTGCCAGGTAACCACAATATCCCCCCATGGTCTCTACAATGAAGACACGCCTCTTGGTGCCGGATGCGGATTGTTTGATTTTGTCGCAGCTCTGAAAGAACAGCCAACAGACATAGTTTTATTGCTTATGTCCGTCTAATGTTGTTAACTAAGCCAAAAATAAGCTTTCAAAAATAACTGTTAATGGTTTTATTTTGCAATAAAAGTCTTATTAAGGCCCTAAATGAGCCTGGGCTGAAATCGGGTCATGACCACTCCAAGAATAATGCAGCATTCAGTGATTTACAGAGTGCACTGTTAATATGTAAACCATGCATTTTAATGAGTAACTTAATAGTTAAAACCTCCTTTTAGTGGACAACTCAGAATAGGTGTGATAGTGGTTCTTACAGTCATCTTCTGTGAGAGTTAGAGTTATGGTAGTTACAGGCTTTCAAAGAAAAAAAAAGACCCAAACAATAATCACATTTGTCAAACACCAGTGCTGATATATTATTACTCATATGGGGGGAAGTTATACCTCCATAGCAGCGTTGACGGCCGTGTCTGCTCCCAGACTGAAGTCTGTGCCTGGCACGTTGTTGCTTATGGTGGCAGGAATCACACACATTACAATACAGAGTTCATCATAATGCCCCCGAGCCTCCACCAGCTGCAGAACTCCCTCATAAGCCTGAGGAGGTTAAAGAACAGAGGTTTTTAATACTACAGGAGTACATCTCTAACCTCAGAAAAGAGTAGCAGATGATAATCTAGTAGACCACAGAGTAGCATTATATACATTATATCATATTATGATACCTGATAACATCTTTAAGACATACGACTACATCATATTTTGTTATTCTGAGGTTCCAACAGACACAACGTACCAGTAGTGCCCAATGTAAATGCACCATCAATACAAGTACACCATTAGTACAATTTTAACATTTCACATTGCTCTCTAAACTTTATTTTGTCTAAAAAACAGAGTGCAATACTGTTATAATCAACTGTTCCAAAACAGCTGTAGCTAAAACACATTTTGAGATGAAAAAACCTTCGAATTGATGTATCCTGTTGCAGCAATGCATTTTTACACCCCTAAAAAAAGACCAGTCACAGATTTGTAGTTTTAATACCTCAAATCCCCCGATCACCAGAAGGGACTGTATATTGTATTTGCTGATAGTCTCCACTATTTGTTCCATGCAGGATTTGGGGAGTGTTCTAAAATTCAGAAGAATGACATTAATTGAACTGCTTGTTTGTAAAACTAAAGAGAAACAAGCAATGATAAGCAGAAAAAACACACTCTGATACAGTTGTATGCAAAAGTTTGAACGGCCCCAGGCAAATTAGGTTTTTTTTTTTTTTAAGTTAACACACCCTCAGCAGGGAACATATCACTTAAACATGGCATTTTCTGCGTATTTTAATGCACAGTTAAATTTTTTTTTTTTTGCTCAGTTTAACATATCGAAATAAAATAACACAACATATAAAATGCGTACATTTTGCACTTTATTGTTTCCCTATGTGTTCAACTTGGCAAATAAATAGTAAATGTGCCGAAGTGTGTTCTCTGTAGAATGTGTGTTAACTTACTTTTTAGAAAATGAACAAAACATGTCATTTCACCAGTGGTTCCCAAACGTTTGCATAAAACTGTATACTTAATCTCACAACTCACACAGTCTTTATGAACCCACCGTTTAGTCCCAAGCAGTGACCCTCCCTGGCCGGTCCAGCCTGCTACATCATGCCAGTGCACCTCAGTCACCTGCAGAAAAAAGCAAATCCACTAATCCAGCTGCTGCCATTTATGTTTAATTGAAATGCCTTAAAATGAAAACAAATGAAAGACAGACCCCAATTAATTTTTCCCCCTCAGTGACTTCCCCTCACCCTTCTAAATTTTGGCCACCAGGACAACAAGGCCTTAATATGTCCCATTTCTCATTTTGGTGTTTGGGAAGTCATGAGTACACTACACGCCCTTAGACACATCAATGAGGACTTAGCAACAGCCTCTTACTTAACTTTGAGATACAAGCCAGGACCAATCAATCCAAGTAGATCAGCTGTCTGACCAACATTATGGAGAAGTAGATATTCAGATGTGTGTTAAAATGCATTTGTAGAATTTGCCATTGAGCTGCTTTACGCTTGTAACCCAAATTGCCTTGGAGGAGGACCTCGAGGCTTAGGGAACCATTTGGGGACAAGCCTTATGTTAAAAATTTAATATCTGAACACTTGCAAACACTACACTATACTAAAACAGAGGTTGCTTAGATCAGTCTTATAGGTCAGCAGGAAAAATAACCTGTTTAATTATAAGGGGTAAAAGTGAGGCTGGAAAATGGTCATGTAAAAATGGATTTTGACCAGTTTGGGTTCATAAAATCACATGAGAGAGAGAAAAAAAGAAAGAAATGTAGAATACTGGTTCTTCAGGTTAGGTTAATGCTAACTAGCATATACTTTAGTTCCAAGAAATTGCAGTTTACTGATATTATGTGCAATTGCTAAGCACACAGCACTAAAATGATCACACGTAGCAATCTAATGTAGCTGAAAGTATGCATCTTGTGCAGGTAACTCTTCGACATTCAGTGCCAAATACAGAATATGGCAGTGAAGTCTACAATTCACAATTCTGTCTCTTCCTAGAGTGAAATAGAGGGTGTGATGTGTTGCTGATAGAAACTTCCCTCAACATTTTTAAGAATTGCAGTGCACTTCATAAGAGATGACAAATCTGGGGTCATTTTTCTAGAACAGGAACCCAAGAAGGGTCATGTGAACTCACCATGCCTTTGGCCAGACCTTCAAACCCGTCATTGATGTTGTAGACTCGGAGACCCTGGGCGAGACCCACTCTGACCGCTGACCTCACAGCTGCATTCATCCCTGCTGCAGGAGCACCCACATTGAGAATGGCCATGGAGTGGTCACTCTTGAGAGAGGAAGAGAGTGATAAGATCAAGTCAAGTCAACTTTATTATCCATTCATAAAATTCAGTAGGTCAATAGAGAATGTAGAGAAAAATACACATACAGTATACCCTGTACCCTGTGTGTGTGTGTGTGTGTGTGTGTGTGTGTGTGTATATATGTGTGTGTACAAGAAACACCTCTGACAACAAATAAAAAGGGTCTTTAACGGGGAATTTCTACTCATCAGTTCAGGGTGTTCAGTGTATGATGTCATATCAACATGGCTGCTCACACTGTCAACGGTAAATACCACTATTCTTCTTTCATAGTATTTTTTGCTTTACATCAAACATACAACATTACTTATGACATAAATCCATAACAGCAGCTGTTTCTACCCAAAGGATTTTTAATGAAAAGCGCTATAACAAGAAAAAAAAAAAACAAAAGAAAAAATCTATTGTTAGCTCAATTTAGACAAGGAAAGTTACTTACTTTTGATTGAGCAGGTTTCTGATGGGCCAAAAGCTTGTAGGTGTTCCAGTTGTTCTCAAAGCTCCTGCAGTGAACAAATGTATGAGGAGTCATTCGAGGACAGACACACACACAGACACACACACAGACACACAACATAACATCTATTTATCACACTCACTTTCCACGGAGCTGAATGGCTTCTTCAAAACGCTTCTCATTCATGGCTTTCTGCACCTCCTTTGTCTAATCACAGGGGTAGAAGAGTGACAAACACAAACAAAAACTTTTAAGATTGTGAGGTTAGACAGTAGTACAATATTTCGAAATCAACCTATATCTCATATTTGGTTCAGCATGACCCAAGACCACCTACTGGATTTTTTTAGTATAATAATATGAGATTGTGAAGACTAATATTTTAAATGCTGTGTAGGATATGGATCACCATTAAGTTACCCTAAGTAACCCTAAGTAAGCTGTCAACCTACTGCCATAATCTTGTTGCAATATTCTCTAACAAATCTTAAACCTTATACTACAAACTTTAGATCAGCATACTAATGTTAAAAGTAGGCCAAAATATTATATTTTGTTTACATAAAATTATGAAAACATTAGTCTAAACATGAACAAAACGGCAAGGGCTAGGAAGTGATTTGGAATTATGATTGTGGCGGGGGGGTTACAGTGATTTGGAATTGTGAGTATGAAGTGTTATGAAATTATCTGATATTATGAAAACAGGAATGGTTACAGAGTAATTTGGGATTATGAGAATATGGAATGGTTATGGAGTGATTTGGGATTATGAGAATGGGAAGGGTTATGGAGGGATCTGGGATTATGAGTATGAGAGTTGTTATGGAATGATCTTGTATTAGGAAGGGTTAAGGAGTGATTTGGGATTATGAGAATGGGAAGGGTTATGAAGGGATTTAGAATTATGAGTATGAGAAGTGTTATGGAATGATCTGGTGTTATGAAAAAGGGACGGGTTAGAGAGTGATTTGGGATTACGAGAATATGGAAGGGTTATGGAGTGATTTGGGATTATGACAATGGGAAGGGTTATGGAGTGATTTGAGATTATGAGAATATGGAAGGGTTATGGAGTAGAATTAAATGCACGTCTCACCATATTGACACACTCCATTAGAGGGAGGCGCATGGCCTGGTTACCAGACAGTCCAATCACACAGGCAGGGGTTTCTGGAGTGGCCTCCAACAGAGCCACGACAGCCTCTACTCCCAATTTACTGCTCTGTAGAGACAGACAGACAGACAGACAGACAGAAACTGACCCAGAGATTTTTACACACTTTCACCAGCATTAGTAATACTTATGGTTTTTATTTGATTTCTTTCGATTTACTAATTGATCCAGGCAGGCGTAATGCTATAAACCTTAGCTAGCACTACACAGAGCCAACCCCTGATAACTCACCAGCACCCTGTCGAAGGCAGAGGGTGTCCCTCCCCTCTGCACGTGTCCCAGGACAGTGACTCGAGTGTCATAACCCAGTCTCTGCACCACCAGCTAAAAGGCAAGTCAAACTGACAGTGACTTTCAGAAGATAAAAACATATTCTTCATAATTTTAAGTCTGAACTGAATTTCAGGGCTGTTGTCTTACGTCCTTCACGTAGTTAGAGGTGATGGGCTGGCCATGCTTATCAATGGCTCCCTCCGCGATGATCACAATGTTGAGGCGAGAGCCCTTACTGCGGCTCTGTAGAAGAATGTATACATGCATATCCTACTGTTCAGAAGTTTGTAATCATTGTTTTCAATCATATAACACCAATCTGGCTGCAGATAAAAATGTCAAAACTTTCTAACATTGCAAATCATGTAAAATTCACAGACTGCTTAGGAAGCTGTTTAAGAAACAAATAAAAGGAAGTGTTAAATGCATCCAAAAATGTTGAACAGAACTAAAAATGATTCCAAACAGTACTTCTATGATAAAATTTCATTTCAGGACCAGATCAGATTGTTAAGTACATAATGACAAAAAGTAGATAAATAATAATTAAGGTACTTTATTTACATTTAAAAAAAAAAATCACTCCCAAAATATTTGAAATTGAATTTGAGTTGAATAAAACATCTAATATTTAAATCTACATAGTTTACTACAGTAACTATACTATATGGGGCAGTCATGGGCTGGAGGTTAGGGAAGCCTTGCGGTCTGTTTGATCCCCTGAGCCGACAGTACATGACTGAGGTGCCCTTGAGCAAGGCACCCAACCCCCAACTGCTCCCTGGGCGCTGCAGATAGGGCTGCCCACTGCTCCGGGCAAGTGTGTTCACTGCCCCCTAGTGTGTCTTCACTAGTGTGTATGTGGTGTTTCACTGCACGGATGGGTTAGATTGCAGAGGTGAAATTTCCCCATTGTGGGACTAATAAGGGTCAAAGAAAAAAAAAAAAGAAAATGTTATTGAGCACTTTCATTTTTCAATTTCCAGTTAATTTCAGCACAAGTTGTTCAATTTTCAAGAAAAAAAGCAGGAAGGTTAGATAACTACATTGAACAGAAAATTACACAAAGTAATACATAATTTTTTTTCAGTTCATTCAGTGTGCCCACACTTTGCCTTTATTACAGCTTCCATTCTTTGTGGGAGACCTCCTCTTAGTATTTTTAAAGAAATCTGCAGGGATATTTTTCCACACCTCCAAAGTTCAGTCTTAGAAGTTGGTTGCCTTTTTTGCTTCTCTGCTTAGAGCTTCAGTTTTTGGAAACTCCTGTTTTCCACTTCTTTTCCTTTCACTTTCTTCTTCTTCTTCTTCTTCTTCTTCTTCTTCTTCTTCTTCTTCTTCTTCTTCCATCTCCTCAGAAATATCACCTTAAGCCATTTTAGATGCACATGAGAAAGAAATGTAAAGTCAGATAAGGTGAGTTTGGGTAGCTGCCTGTGTGATTGTTAGTGTCTCTTTGAAGGGGAACAGTCCGTGAGTCCTTTGGGAACAGCTTTTACTGGGAGAACATAGCTGTAACTCAGTAGCTTAAAGACTGGAAGTACTGAAGAGTTAAAGTGGCAGTCGGTGTACAAAAGTAAAGTAAAATTATATCCTGATAAAATTTATATTCTTATTTAGTGCTAGAGGTGTTTGTTAAATATGTTTCCTGCTTTTTTCTGACAATAACAAAAAAAGGGACTTGTACTTAATGGCTGTTTTGGCTGGAAATTAAAAAAACAAAGGGTGGTCTTTAACTTGTGCACAACCTGTAGTCCATATAAAACCACAACAATGATTAATATGACAACTGATTCTAAACGTTTATGTCCTGAGTGACCGTGCCTAGAGATCGTGCCCTAATGTCTCACCTCTCCCAGGCGGGCACACATGTGGTCCTCCCACCCTTCCTCTGGGGGAGCTTCAGGGATAAAGACCCAGTCAGCACCAGAGGCCAGAGCAGACACCACAGCCAGATATCTGCATGTTAAGCATACAGGGAAGAAAAAGCACTATAACCTCATCAACAAGACTGACTGGTACACTTTACACAGAGAACTAGTAGGGGTGTTAAGCTTTTAACTGAAATCAAAGACAAGATCAATTTTAAACTTTGAAAGATGGAACAACCATGTGACCTTCCCCAAATAATTTAATGTTTCAAGCTGCTTCACCAAACAAAAAAATCCTGTTCTTATGTGAGCAATAATTAAACAAAAGCAGTAGCACATGCCATTATCAGCTCAAAATGAACGGCTAAAAGGCTATACTGTCCATGTTGTCATCACTGCAGGACTGTTGTCTATGATGTTATCTTACCAAGTGAAAACGCATTAAATCTAATCAATACATTTAATATTTCTTATAATTTGTTTTGTCATCTAGAGAAAGTGTTTTATTGTATTGGCAGATAACTTTGCTTGTTTTAAAGATTCAACGCAAATAAAAAAAACTCTCGCGAACAACAATTTATCTATATGATATAACATTCTCACTTATTTAATGTTTAGAATTAAGCTGAATAAACATTCTTAAGACAAACTCAAAATGAGAAATTTTGGAAGGAATTTAAGGAGATTTCACTCATAATTTCTTAAGTGCATAAAATGACACAGCAAATCAAATAAATACAAATATGTTGCATGACTAATAACGACCTTGTTTTATTCTGAAAAACATATCGAAGCAAATAAGCCCCAAAGTTTACAAAGCAAGTAAAGAGCACTAAAAGAAAACAGTACTTACCCACAATGTCGTCCCATCACCTCCAGCACAAATGTTCTCTGATGACTGGAAAAAGTAAACATACACTTATGTGGCAATAGGCACTAATAGATGAGATGTGTTCCTATAAATAGCCTCAAACAACGCAGTGACTGACCTCATGTTATGCCTGTGGTCATGTCTAGTGCGTGTCTCTATGACCTCTCACCTCTGTGCAGTAGTGCTGATTGCATCGATGACCTCCATGATGCGGTGAAGGGCGGAGTCAGCTCCGATGGTCATGTCTGTGCCGCAGAAATCGTTATCGATGGAACCCACAAGGCCCACAATGTTCAGATGGGTGTACTGCTGAGCCAAGGAGTCGGTGATTCTCCCTTAAAAACACACACATAGAACTGAAACTGAGACTGGAATTGTAAGTTCAGCTATTGTAAAACCAAAATGCTGCCATATGCTGCTCAAATGACATGTTCTGTTGATTTTATAACTGAAAAGTACACAATCTCCTCAGAGAACACACGTAAATATGGCATTTTTCTACACATTAGTGCACAATTGTTTATTTGCTGAGTTTAACATATTGGTGGAAGAAAACATTTAGAAAATATGCCATAACTTTAGCACAAGCCACATTTTATGTTCTATTTATTTTTCCAACATGTCAAATTCAGCAAGTAAACAGTAACTGTGGATTAAATTGTTCAGAAGTATGTTCTGTTTAGAGAATGTGTTAAATTATTCTCATTTAGAAAAACAATAAAGCATGTCATTTGGCCAGGGACACTCAAATTTTTGCATATGACCAAATTCAAATAGTGCTTACAAGACAGCACAACAAACGTCTCCTGCGGAGGAGAAAATTCTTGATGAAAAAATGAAATGATTAAATCAATAAATAATTTAATCAACTAAATGTTTTTTTTGTCAGTTTTGGAATATTCAGTGAAAACACTGAAATTTAAGTATATATTAAAAATAATAATTGATATGTTTTTTTTGCTGAATGTTCCCAAATAAAATGGTTCATTGAATTATTTCTTTCATTATTTATTGATTCACTGATTTATATTGTAGCCCTCCATTGTCTCTTGGCCAGTGATAATTTTTTAAATGCTCTAGAAATCCTGTGATCCAAGGTCTAAACTCAATTGATCAAATTTCATATGATTTCTAGTAAAGAGCAGAGCAGTCAGGCTATGTAAATTTGGCTGCAGGTTTCAGTCTTGGTGCCACGAAAGGCCATGAAATTCAGCGCAGCCTGAGTTAGCCAGCGCAGACAAGGCAGCTATTGATGCTGATTCACTCAAGTAAATGGAGCGGAAATCTACAGCTACACAATGAAAGGAGAGGATGTTAACAAACAGACAGACATCCAATACAGAGAGACACAGTTTCTCCTTTTCTCTGTCAAATCAACTTCTGGAATTTTTTGGTATGTTATATTATATGCTAACATTTACTGCTCATATATTTTGCAAATAAGCAAACATAAACAGTCATATGCAAACGTTTGGGCACCCATGGTCACATGAAATATTTGATTTTCTAATTGAGATAATAAGTGAAAATATCATCTACAGAGAACACACTTCTGCACATTTTAATGCACAATCACTGTTCATTTGCTAAATTTAACATATTAGAAACATACAGTGTGGCCTGTGCAAAAGTTATGTTTTATTTTCTTCCAGCAAATAAATAGAACTTATTTCTGCAAATTTTAGCGCACGTCATATTTAAGTGTGTTCTCCTCAGAGGATGTTGTTTACACCTAGAAAATCAACTTTTCTTGTTTACACCTAGAAAATCAACAAAACATGCAACATGACTGGGGGGTGTTCAAACTTTTATAGACGATTGTACGTACACATCATTGCTGTCAGCATAAAAAACTTTTATCTCCTTTTTTTCTTTTCTCCACAATTTGAAGAAACTAGTTGCCTTTTATATCACATGACCATTTTATGATGAATGGACCGACAGAAATGGTATGGTATAAAATCATGTTACATTAACTTCTCTTAAAAAGGTTACCATTTTAGATATTTTGTTCAGACAGCACTGGTGTATTTTTCTTCCTGATGATGGTTCAGATGTAGTTACAGTTTCTGAGCTTACTGACAAAAAAAAAATGCAATTAGCCTTCAATTTTCCCCCCTTTGATGGGCTACATTCTTATTCACTTACATTAGCTACACATTGGGACGATATCTTAGACTAAGAGTGATCCTAAACCTAGAATACACTGTTTAAAATGACATCTTGGCAAGCGGAAACATCTTAAATCTTGTCAATGCATCTAATATTTCTTATTTTGTGATTGTTTTAAGAATATAACGTCGTAATAGTTTTGGGGATCTGCAGACCTCTCTGGTAAAAATGTGTAATTGCATGGAATGTGCAGAATAACACATAACATTGGTTGTGCCTTGGATCCCTTCCCCAAATGAATAAGCATGTTGAAAGAGTATTTAAAGAGAAATCAGTTAAAAGTTTGGTAAAAAATTAAGTCTTCCATGGACATAAGTGAATGATCTACTATTGTCATCATATCTTCATCAGTGTAATGTCGATTTTGCATTTGGTACCCAAAATCCAACCTAACCAAAGCTGTACTCTGCAGTTGAAAATTTGCGGTTGAATTATTGGGCTTATGTTCCCCAGATAAAACCTCCTTCTTTCAGAGTTTGAACATTTTTTTGAAGCATTACCTTCCTGCACCAGCTGGGCCAACAGGTCACTCCACTCCTTGCGGAAGATGTTGGCTCCAGTGAGGCTTCCATCTCCACCACACACGCAGAGGTTAGTGATGCCCCTCTGGACCAGGTGGAAAGCAGCTGCCAAACGACCCTCTCTTGTGGTGAAAGCCTTACAACGGGCACTGCCAATCACCGTGCCACCCTGAGAGAAACAGGATTAAGAAGGGATGTAAAAATGCATTGTCTTGTGATGTACCTACCAATCTACAGGTGGTGATTCAACTGCATTGAATGTTTTGGAATCGATTATTATAATATTTTATAAAATATCCACTGTTTTTAGCCGAAATAAAACTCAATATATTTTTTTGTAAAAATAACGAAGTCTGGTGTTCCGTTTTTTTGTCTATATTCCATGACTGTATAAACCAAAGGTCATCAACCCTGTTCCAGGAGACCTACCTTCCTGCAGAGTCTAGTTCCCACAACAAACTAATATACCTGCTCCAGCTAGTTAACTTCTTCAGAAGCCCATGATTGACTGTATCAGATGCATTAGTGTTTGGCAAGTAGGGGCAGCAACTTAAATGGAACTAAAGGCTGGAACTAAACTCTGCAGGAAAGCAGATCTCCAGGTGGAGGGTTGGTGACCTCTGGTGTAAACAGTTTAAGTATTCATATACAAAAGCACGTAAATGTCAAATACAACCATTTCCAGTCAAAACAGCCAAAAAGGGCTAGTTATTCATTTTTCAGTGCGAGGAAAAAAAAATAAAAAATCAGAAAACATGTTTAACCTATAATTACAAAAGAAGCCTCAACAACTAAATGTAATACTTTTTTCAGTATTTATTTTTGTCCACTCTGCCTTCATTACAGCTTGCATTTTTCAGGAGATCTGCTGTACATATACACAGTGTATTTTTTAACATAATGCAGAATTATACCAAAATCATCAAACTGAAGTGAAATAATCATGTTTTATGAGGCCACCCTTTAAAAAGTTATTCTTACAGAGGAGATGGAAGGACCTTACAAACAGATTGTGTACGCAGACAGTTCATCCCTTTATTTCCTCCATCCCTTTTAAATTTCGACTATGACTATAAGGTCATTGTCAGGAATTACAGTTTAATCCAATTTAGAATAATTCAACACAAGCACGCACACAGATTATCCCACCTCTGTTGACGAGACCAGCAACACACAAGCAGTCTGAACTGAAAGGCCTCAAACCCTTTCAGGAGACGTGACTAAGGACATGCAAGTGTCCAGCGCGTATGATCACATGACCCCGCTGCTGTGTAGCTGCTGTAGGAGAGAAGAGGAACTGGACTGTGCTGAGGGCCGCTGTGGTAATCTCACAGATTTAATCCCCTCAGTCAGCACTCCCTCGCATAATCTCAATCCCACCCGCTCACTGTCATTATTTAAAACCTTCAGCAGGTCAAGACACAGCTTTGAATACAGAGGCGCTCACATTTATTGTGTCTGCAGTAAATAGGCGGGTATCTTCTTCCCCAGTGTATATCGCTAACAGTTCAGTGGAGATGTAGGCCAACATTTTCTATCTGTCTGAGACTTCTCTCAATGTGGCAAATTGCACATTAGAGCACAAAATGAGCTCTTACAGATTTACCCACCAGCTGGATGATGTTGCTCACGCTTTGCCAGTTGGCAATTTTGATATTGTCACCTCCATCCACAAGCCCTTCATAGCCCTTGAAAGAAAGACATGTTGTATGAATGTATAATGGACTAATGCAGGTACTATGATCAATATTCGTTGAAACTGGGTTATATATACTAATAATTTACCTTACCTCATAGATCAGATAGACCTTGGCGCCGACATAAATGCCCATGCGTGTTACAGCACGAACAGCTGCATTCATTCCTATGTATTGTACACATACACACAAACACTCTGCATGTAATACACTGTGATAGACATCCACTTGTTCAGTACAAAACTGTAGAATATGAGTCCTTTAACATTTAATAAGCTTTGCTGAAACAAAAACTCATCTTTTAACAGGATTACAAATCAACTGGATCAAAATAAAGACATTTTCATTTAAAAATGCTCCAAAAAGCAAGCCAAACATTATATATGAAGCTAAGATAATGGAAAAAACTGCATTGTAGCTTGTTTAAGTGATGTGTCCTTTAGGTGTGGGCAATATGGCAAAAATATTGGTACGTGCAAGCATGTTACAACCCAAGAGTAGTGAAGAAAGTGGTGATTTTTTAATAAATGTTTCAAAAATATTTCAAAATTAAGCCAATTTGCCAGTTTACTGACATCGTGGTATCACAATACTTAAAGACATTTTCTTTATACACAATGTGCATCAGAATATTTAGTTTTTATTAGGCTTGATTTATTAGGAACAAAGTAAAAAGAACCACATTGGTCAAAAACCATGACTACAATGATAATTCAGTGTTTCACATATTGTGCTGCACTAAACACACAGGACTAGTTATGCTCTCTTTGTAATGAAACATGCAGTCGGTCAGTTTCTTTAAGTCCTGACACAATGTGACATAATTTATCACCATAGCGAAAACTGAAGATACTGTCACACCATATTGCCCACCCCTGGCTCCTGTGTGGAGTGTGAATACGCCCCCTGCTCTGCTGCTGCACACGACATGGGGTTACATAAGAGCATTCTCATACAATCCATCCCCTTATATATATAACCTAACTCTATAATATTAAGAATAAAACACTTTAAATAAACTTTAGCTCATAAACTATTTAAATATGTAAATGTATTCCAAAATTGGCCTTTGTAGCAAAAAAAAAAACTTAATCCAGGTCAAAATTTGTGTCCACGCTGAATCAGATCCAAGCGCCCAGCTGACGAAATCTACGGAAATGAAATTCCTCAAATTTCCCACAATCCGCCAGACTAAAGCAACGGACCTGGACCGCAGGTCACAGACTTCAACGAAGCCAAAGTTCGCTTTATGCTCGAATTTTCCCGGTCCACCTTAAATGGTGCAGCCAGAGTGTAACTGCTGCACCATTTAAGGTGGAACGGGAAAATTCGAGCAAGAAGCAGGCGAAGAGGAAGCCAACTTCAGCCTCGTTAGACTTAAGCTGAGCAGGAGAAAGTGGATAGGGAAGCATATGATTAGCTGAGTGCAGTGCCAGCTTCATTAACGTTACCCTGTGCATCTCCACCGCTAGTCAGAACAGCGATGGCTTTTCCAGCGCCCGCCATCCGCAGCTTCTCAAAATCCACCAACATGATGACTGCCGTGTAGGTTATCCGCTAACTAGTGGTTTCGGAAATTCAGAGCCTACAACAGTCCTGTCCCGCTAGCCCTCCGTCCTGCTCAGTATGCGGGAGACATGGCAGTAGCCGTGTAAAGCAATGAGGCGATTTTGCTCTGCTCCGCCTCTTGTTTGCACTGGCGACGTCCGATTCATGAACGAATCGGTTCTTTTGATTCTCTTTACATTTGGACTGTTTATGACCACTAAACATTTTTGTAGCGTCTTATAGACAATATAATAACTTACCAATAAAATAAGAATAAACATCTTCTATAATTTAACTACATAAAATCATAATATAAAACAGAACAGTCTTAGGGGTCGCTTGCATTTTCTTTCTGTATTGTGTAGCTTCTTTCTCCTTTGTTTGTGATTATCCTTCGCGCTTAAAGATGCGAGTCCCCCAGTTTGTGCGCTTGTAATATGAAGATGAGAACAGGTTCAGCGAATCATCAGTGAATCACTGAAGCGGACATTCGGTCCATTTAAACGGACAGTTCAAAAGAATCGGTTCGGTAAGCTGAATCGAACTTCTTATCACTTGTTTGCCCTGGGATGTGTTTTTTTAACATTAAATGAAATGTGTAGCATGTTATTGTACCACTCTATGTACAGAAAACTACCGTATAACACAGACCAGAAAGCAACAGCATTAGATATTTTATAAAAATTCGGTTTCTATTTTTTCGTTATTTAATGTGTATGCGCTGTGCTCTGTATTACCGTTTTCCCCTTTCATTTCGGTGAAATATCTAATTTAAGTTGTGGCTGGACTGGGATACCATAGAAACCACTTAGCAACACCCTGGAAACCATCTGGGAGACCACAGCAACTGACTAGCAACCTCTTTGGATACCATAGCAAAGACAAAGCAACACCTTAGCTACTACTTGGAGTACCATAGCAACCGCTTAGCAACACCCTAGCAACCGCCTAACAACACACTTGCAACCACTTGGGATACTATAGCAACCGCCTAACAACATCTTAGCAATCTTAAGCTGCGTACTAACTCTACATTTTCTTCTGGACGAGTAAGGTGTTGTGGATGGACTGACGGGAATTACATGGTTGTGGGTCGCCTTGCAGTGTGGAGATTATATGCTTCAGAAGAGAACATAAAAATGCACCTTGAAGTGGCTGAAGGGATTTTCAATGGGGCAGCAGAGCCTCTATCTCTAACAACACAGGCCAGCCTCTTCATAATGATAAGCCTCTCTGTAGAGCCTTCACGCCCATGGAAAACAGTGATATTCAGAAGAGGCTGTATTTTATTTATTTATTTATTTTTATTTAACTCTCCTATTATCTTAGGAGTTATCAATTTGACCCCATTCATCTTTAACGTTTCTAAATAAAAGACTGACATAATTTTTTGCTTCATATTTAATGACTTTTGCTAATTTAATGGGGACAACTGGGTAAACATAAAACTAACATGATACATTTTCAATATCTTGTACACGTTTTGTATGCATCGGTGTTCTTTGTGGTCAATTTGACCCCAGGCTGCTTTAGTTGTATAAAACAGGATATAACTGGACATAAGAAATATCACCATTTTGAACACATTTGTTTTGGTTGTATTGGATGACACTGAGGTCAGTGCAACTTCATAATCTTCAAACTTCCCTCTGCTTTAGAGCCCTGACCAAACATAACCCTACATAACATGCCTGAATTAGTGCAAGAGCCACTGATAGTTCGCAGACATGAGAGAGGGGAAAACACAACACAGCTCCCACAAGAACATTAATGTTCTTTAAGTTCTTAAACATTAAGTTCTTTCAAGTTTAAACTGCTGGGGTCAAATTAACCCAAGGATAAAATATTTTATTAAATTTGAGGATAATAGGAGGGCTAATTTATTATTATTATTATTATTATTATTATTATTATTATTGTTAAATTCATTCTAAAGTCACGCAAAATCTGAAGAACATAAGAATGTTTGCTCTGATTGTTTCTGCACTGAATAATACAAACGATGCAATGTCGCCATCTAGCGAGTGAGCCTGGAGGTGGATGGTCGCGCCTGCGCATTCGCAGCTTGTCAGTGAGGCTAAATGATGCGATGGCAGGTCAGCTAATGTGCAGCTTCTTGGACAGTTTTGAACCAATAAAGTAAAATAAAGTACAAGTTTACAATGAAATTAACTCGGAAACTTGTTCTCGCTCGGGCCAAAGCGTCGGACCTCGACAGTGTAAAAAAACTGAATTGCTGGTACGTTGTGCATGTGTTTAGTTGCTCGCTAACATGTTAGCAAACATGACTGGTGTCTTAGTAACAGCCTGAAACCTTAAAGCTTCTTTACGACACGATTTGCCTGGCCACGGTTCGATATTTTGGCTTTTCGATATATATTTTTAAACTGTTAGGATTCACTTTCTTTTTAGTCGATATATCCAACCAGCAGGCTTAATTTTAACTTTTAACTTTCAGTTCAACGTCAAAATCGAGTTGGTTGTAAAGGTATATTAAGTTATGCTTGAATATAAACCCTTGTTATTACTGTCAAGTTTCAACATGGATCTCAAAGAAGAAAATTTTCGTTGCAAAAGAAAAACTTTGACTTTATGATAGGGTTGCTCGATTATGGCAAAAATCATAATCACGATTGTATTGGTCAGTATTGAGATTTATTGAGCTTTTAAAAAACTTTAACAGTGGATTTCTGTGAAATAATTCAACTGAAAACAAATAAAAAATAAATGAGATGAGTTTGGGCTTTTAGAGAGGGGTAAAAGCTACCTACTGTAAAGGAAAGGGGTGGGCTGGATTTCTAACACAAGACAAAACGAGAGCATCATTTCAAAACAGAATGCAACACAATAGTTGTTTTCTCGATTATCTTGTTTTCATAATCGTTTCAACCCAAATCGTAATTAAAAATAAATCTGATTAATCATCCAGCCATACTTTACAATATTTATACACTGGATTAATAAAATCACATCGTAGCCAGTAGAATCAGTGTATCAGGTAGGGATGTACAATGATGTCTGATTCATTACCGGTATCGGCAAGTAATTGTTAAAAGTTGATCAGCAGACAGATGTTTAGCTAACTGACATTTCAAACCGATACTCGATGACACATTTCTTGTACTCCGAAAAGAAGAGCAGAACATTTAGTTGATGCTGGACTGTTGCAAAATGTCTGTATTATATTAATTTTATGTAACTTTATATATATATATATATATATAGGTTATAGGTTAACCCTGTATGAAGGTTATATTTCTCTGTAATCCCAATCCAGGTGGATTTAGTCACTTTTGTGGAATTTGTTTCAGCATATGTCTATATGAAAAATATCTGACATTGGCATCAGCCCACAGTTGCTGGATTGTGTAACTTGAGCGGCATCTGTATCCAAGCTAAGGATATGTGCTTTTCTCAGGACATGGAATTTAGCTGTCACCTTCCTATAACTAAAATCATGCTGACTTGGCTAACGTAGTGTATATAGTCCTGTATACGGTATTACTGTGTATATCTTCAGCTATTACAAACTTCTCAGCCAGTCAGCTAAGACTGTCATTGTAGCTTTACATAAATTCGATTTTAGGCAACATCATCATTTACTAAACACAAACACTCAGTCTGCCAGCATACTCAATGTACTTATTTATATGTTGTAGGGGCTGCAACCTGACAGACGTAAGTATTGTTTCTATCCAACATCTATGTTTCATGTTTCAGGCCTTTTCTCAAATACCATATTTATTATTTTCATATCACTTTGTGTTTACATATGTTCTCAGATCTCAATATTCTCAGAAATACCCAATATTGAAGTCTTAACATTGAGGTAGGTTGGCTTTACTATACCTGATTCTGATTAGTGGTTGATAGTCAGATTAGGTTACATTTGTTGGGTTCCTTGTTTATAACCAACATTTATTATTATTCTTTTAAACACAATTCTCTTTCTCAGTGCCAATAAAATATCCTCTCTGGAGCACATCTCCAACTGTCAGAATCTAACAGAGCTCTACTTGAGGCGAAATGACATCCAGAATCTCTCAGAGCTGGGCCACCTTAAAAACCTTGCCTGCCTCAAGGTTCTATGGCTGGCAGAGAATCCATGCTGCGAGCCTGACCCAGTTAAGTACCGTCTAACCGTGCTGAAAAACCTGCCTGGCCTACACAAACTGGACAACCAGGGTGAGTAAGACGGCAAAGCTGAAGCTTTAGTACTACTGAATTAGACCCAGGGTAGCAACAATGTTATTGCTGCAAGCATATCATATATAATGTTCACGCTCAAAGTTCTCTGCCAGCATTATTAGTAACCATATAAAGATTAGAATTTTATGCTTAAAGTCTTCTGCTAGGATGGCTAGGAACAATTGAAAGATAACAGCAGCACAGTTAGTAACTAGCCTACCAGAAGCTCTTATTTAGCTCTGAATTTTAATAACACGTGTACCGTTTTTTCAGTCGTGACAGAGGAAGAACTTGCACTTGCTTTGGAGCAAGGAGAGGAAATTGTCACTCCTCCAGGTCCCATTTCAGCCAGTTCCACCAATGGCCTTGCAGAGGCAGACTCTGAGAATGACCCTCTTAATTACAGTATGGAAGAGACCAAGTGAGTTTTTAACCATTGTCCAGTCTCCATACTCACATAATTAAAAACTAAATTGCTTTATGTCACTGACTCAGAAGGATGAGCACACTTTCGAAGAAGAATGAACCTAATTACAGCTTAAAGGAATAGTTTGGCAAAAATCTGTTTTACACAATTTTCCAATTACCCCATCAGTCAAAACATGTTTGGTGTCTGAAGTTTGCCTCTTTAGTTTTCCACTGGAGTTAAGGAGGCTAATGTAGCTAACAAGTAATGGAGTCCTGTTGCCTCCAGTTAATGTTGTGCAAAGTTCAGTTGTAATTTTACACTTAAAGTTTTTTAGGCTCTATTTGGAAAACAAGTCCAGTCTACTAACATGCTTGTAGTACAGACTGTGGAGACTGTCAGAAGTGACATGTTTTGTGTTTGGTTCCTCAGTAAAATTCGTGCACAGCTTGGGATGAAGCCAATACCTAGAGATAAATTCCCATCGTTTTCTTCCCCACGAGAACTAGGGGCTAGTCCTAAGAAAAAGGTCAGTTCACATTTCGCATTATATGATATTTCCTAAAACTAAGCAATAAATATTAGGTTCATTGTTTTATATATTGTCACTTTTTACTGCCTGCATTTACATTAGCATCTGCTGACTCACTCTGTGGTCATTAACAATGTATGCACTGCCTAGGAAACTGCCTTAAGTAGGGTCAGTAATGGTCAATTTAGTGTTGAATGTTTCTGATGACGTTATCTCCCTATAGAGCCACACTCTGGAGGCTGTGCTGTTACTGCTAAAGGATCTGGACGTTGAGGAGCTGAAAATCGTTCAGAGTGCCACAGAAAACAAGCTCAGAGCACGCAGTCGACAGAAGGAGAAAGAGAAGGAGAAAGCTCTGATCACCCAGAACTAATGCTGCCAAAACACTGGACAACCAGCAATGATGTAATAACTAGGGCTACAGATCTTCTGATTTTTGAAATCCAGGTAAAGGTGTTTACAGACATCAGCCCATATTTTCAGGTGTCCGAGATTAAAATCACTGACCCAACGCCTCAAGTCCATGTAATCCTAGACAGTGCTATAGCCAGGCATAAACCGATCCCAGATCAGCATTCCTACTCAGCCAGCCCCAAGCATCCCAGGTCAGCCATAAATGTAAGTAAGAGTTCAGAGAAGCACCCACAAAGTGCATAGAACTGACCGTGTTGGACTGTGTTAGTGTTGTTCCGCAACTGCATCTTACACTGTTGCCTTCAGCAGAGACTGAATTATTCTGGAGAACAAAGGTATCTCATGTATAGATGTGTACACTACTATTCAAAAATTTGGAATCAATGTTTTGAGCAATATAGTAACAAATATAGCGGTAGATACAAGCTTAAATGATGTTAAAAGTCTGTTAGTTTGAAACAACTTGTAGGAAGCTGTAAAAATGACACAAGTACGGCAAGTGATTCCAAACTTTTGAACAGGGCTGCAAGTGCTAACTGTGTTTCATTAGGGTTTGTCTTGCATCCAGTTGTTACCAAATCACAAAAACGTTTGCTTGTATTATTATTTTGCTTTAATGAAAATGTTCCACCAACGTGTATATGCTAACTGTTTGAGTCTTTAATATTTGTATTTTTATATGTAAATAAATTGCAGTGCACCTTATTTATTACACCTCTGTACATGGCAGTACATATAGAGAGCACATTATTAACCATCAAAAGGCAACAGTACAAGTGCTGTGGGCAGCAATATCCAGTACTTGAGATTTCTAAATCATTCCAATCAGAAGGTTCCAGTCAACAGAATTAGTCTGAATCCTTAGTCCCATTCTGAGTCTGTTCTACTGAACCTCTTTCTGACCAAACTGGACAGTAGGGCAGTCTATGTCAGATTACTACTGCCTATCCAGAGTATTCAGAACAGGTACAGTCAACAGTGATGAAAGAGAGGCGGACACTGAAACAGGACTCTTCTGACTCGATCCTGCTCACTCAACATCCTCCTTTTCCAGGAAGTCTGTGAGAGTTCCAGCATCCACAGGGATGAGAAGGTACTCTACTCCATCAGCCCCCTGCAGAAAGGAAAGGGAAAAAAAAAAAAAGACAAATCTTGAAAAAGTGGCATTTGTATACATTTCGTTTCTAGTTAGTTGGGTACACCTACCTACATTTGTTGGCCATTTATTCAGAAACACCTACCGTATAGACTCACATTGTAGGCTTACAATGTCACCGTTTAGGTTGAGCATAGGAAAAAGATGAGCTATAGTTTCTAACTGTACCACTATCATACATCCAACCTAGGGATGCGCTCTCCCACTACATTTCATATTCAAGTATCTGTAAAAGATTAACGAACGGATAACATGTTAACTGCGGGTAAGAAAACGAACAACCTCCAAAAAAAAGTTTAAAGGCTGAGAATAACATAGGGTTGTAGGCTTTCTTTTTTTCCCTTAGTGATAAAACTTTTGTGTTGGATTAGTAATGAAAGCTGTCTCTTCAGATGAACTAACGAGCTAACACCATAGCGATCACTGGCACACAGATACAAGCCGTTAAAAGTGGCATTTCACTGAATTTTTGGCCTGTATATTTTCTCCCTGTGATATAACGGAACAGTATTTGAATACTGGCACCTCGGAGGGTTAACCGTGTATCTGTGCACATCCACAACACAACTTTGCTTCCAGTAAAGTGGGTTATTAGCATGTATTCCATGCACTGAGTCAGTGAACTGTTTTTGTGATTCACCTTCTTGGTGCGAATGAGCTTGTGGTCTCTGAACTCTGTGAGCTGAGTTCTCAGCGTGATGTCACTGTTAACCAGGAACGCTTCACGACAGCGCTGGTAAAAGTCTTGGAAAGACAGACCTGAGTACAAATCACAAGACAGATGTTTAGAGAGCAAACAAACCTGTAATATATAATGGAATCAAAGAGATAATACAACTGTTTGGTCCAAAACATGAGCTAAACGTTCCAAAACAAGAAGAGCACATGAAGGGCATACTGATTGATTCCTGGCTGGTTTTCAGATTTTTCCTGTTTTACTTAGAGCTGAGTACAAGGGAAGCACTGAGATGAGGATTTATAAGCTGTTGTTATTGTCATATTTGCCTTTGCCAATACATAAACAATTATAAAATGTAGAAACTGTGACTCAATTTACATGGATTTGCATTACAGAGAAACACATTTATTTCTGTAGTGTTACAAATGCAGTAAAATGAATGAAGTCCTAATATTTTAGCACCACAGTCTGGCATTCCCAAATCTTCTGCTCTTCCAGAGGACATCATCAAATATAGGTATGTAGTAGTCAAATATAAACCATCTGATTTTCTACCAAATACGATATGATCCCAATATCACTGTGCATCACTACTGGGTACTGTTTGTGATTGCGCCATACTGATTCTTAAAGGATACTTTTTTCTATAACTTCTTTTCAATTACAAACCTAAAGTGAGTAAATTTACAGACTGTAAAGGATTACAGACAAATATAGAAGTGCTGATGTTAATAGTATGCATATAGAATGTAATTTTGACAGCAGTACAGATTTTGTAAAAAAGCATGTTTATCAGGCTGACTACTTGTTCTTGAATGACATTTTTTTCAGTACTCTAAATTACTGAAGTAATTTGGTCAGTATCCTAGTTTTACCTGTATACGAAGGGTTGTCTTTGTTCTCCAGCTGAAACTCAGCAAGCAGTCTGAAGATCCCTCTGTGGAAACACAACACAATATCACCAACAGAAACATTTTGAGACCACGACTTTTCCCTGTTAAAGATCACCAGAGCACCAACAGCTTTGTCAGGCCAACCACAGCATCAATCCATGTAAGACTACCTGACACTGGGTATAAAACACACACATATCTATTTGTATATAAGCTACTTTACTTTGTATAAGTAAGTTTGTATTTAGCATTTAGGTGTAACTTTACATACAAATGCTAGGGACCCCTCCCCACCACTTCTTCAAATGCCCATTTTGGTCCCCACTGTTTTTTTGTACATGTAGTCTCAGCATTACAATGATAAATGACACTCTAGTTGTGACACAGATCACTGAAAACAAATAAGAACAGTTCTGTTGTGTGTATATTGAGATCAATGAGATATCAGTTAAATGCTACGTGTCCTTGTAATCAGAGGTGAGTGCAGTAGGTGAGATCAGAATATTAAGACAAATTTAAGTATTCAGCATAATAAATTCTTACATTTGTAGTTTATATACAGAACATTATTAATTGTATTATATACTGAATTTATAAGAGCTGATAGCTAGCAAGCTATGTTACTAAACTTACTGAAGGACTACACTTTTTTGGTGGGAGTGGCCAAATTAGCAGGTTATGTACTAAGGACCTCCATGCAAATACACAGATCTATATAAACCTATTGAGCTCATGCCCTTTGTATGAATGCCTGTTCCATTCTAGTTCAGAATAATGAAAATAAAAATAATGAGTCTAATGTGCAATTTCCCAGAATGGATCAGCATCAGAATGCAGAATGCATCCTGATCATTGGTAACCGTATGATTTTGAGCTTATCGCATTAAAGCAATGCAAAGCCAGAAGAGGTCCAAAAATAAGTCAAGCTTTTCCCAGGAGTAAACAGCATACAGCCAGTATTTACCATCAATCTTGGTAAATCTGAGTAGGTTGTTCATTACAATGATCTCTGAGGATTTTATGCTTTGACAGAGAAACTGCTATATATGCATAAGCAACGAGGCAAAGCGCAATATAGCAGCAGCTGTCCCTTGCTCAAAAATAGTGCCCATTTTGTACATCACCACAGTAAAAACTTTAGTAAATCACAAAATGTTAGTAGATCCCTTATATAGGGATTGTACAGCTGTATAAGCAGAACAGAAATGGAAACTAATCTACTCTCTGATCTCGTTTTAGTGCTATAAGAAATCAGGATGTTATGTATGTCACCTTTAAATGCAAACAGGACAGCTTTGCATACTCCTGCATAATTTTCGGTGTATTACTCCAGCAACTGAAAAAGTTTTTGCACCCCTTGTCAAGTTACATGTTTGTGTGCTGAATTTACCATATTGGGGGGAAAAAAACAAAAATGTGGCCTGTGCAAAAGTTATGGCACATTTTATATTTTGTTTTTATGTTTTCCAATATGTTAAACTCAGCAAACTAATAGAAATTAATACTAAAATTTACAGAACTTTCTACAAAATCCACACTGTTCAAACGTTTGGATGCGACTACATGGACTGAATACGAACAAATAACTGCACATAACAGTAATAAAACAATTTGACGGTAAACATGAATGTGTGTGTGTGTGTGAGGTGTTGCACTTGACAGGTGTGGTGCTGTACCTGGCATTTGGTGTAAGACTGCGCAAGACGTGTGTGAGTGAGCTGAGAGCCAGTGCACCCGTCTGCTGCACCAACAGTGAGTTCTCGTACGATGTCTCCTCCGTATATGGCAGAAACGAAGTCATCTCATACCAAAGCCAGTTAAACAAGCTCATCTTCGAGTGGTCCCACACTGAACGCCACCACAAACAAGCAAACAATGGAACACTCAAATACATCACTAGAACCAGGCAAGGTAGTTTTGCCTCAAATTAAGAAGTTAAATAACAAAAACAGATGCCTACAAGTCAATAACAAGCTTGACCAGATATTGAAGGATGACATTCATGTAATCTGATGGGGAAAAAAAGTAATAAAATTCTGGAAATAGTGTTAAAGTGTGAAAACACACCAAGAGGGGCGTTGATGTGATCTATGGAGGCCAGCAGGTGCATGTTGGGAATGGAGGCCAGCTGTCCCAGGGCCTGCTGGTTCTTCTCACCCCGCAACATGGGGCCATCAATATTGTGGACGATAAGATAGATGTGGATGTCTGGTTCTGGTGAGAAGACACACAATTATTAATGTGACTGCTACGTTATCAGACAGCAGTATCAAAATGCTGTAGCAAGGCTTCTGTCTGCCACACACTGGAAACAGACAGGATGACATTCAATATAGAGGTTGGCTGTTATCTAAAAATATACAGTACAGTGCAAAAGTCAGCGACCACCATTAATTTGTTTAATTTCCCAGTCAAAGCACAATTTATTAATTTTTCAGGACACATTTTGAGGAGATTAGATATTAGACAATCCAACTAAATAAAGAAGGGGAAGTCAAAGGAAAATAAGAGACAAACAGGGAGTTTCCAAAACTGGAGCTCAAAAAAGGATTAAAAGCTACAGACAAAATGGGACTCCTAACAACCATAGAAGACCTGGTAGACACCAAAACTGTCCCCATCAGATAGACAGTCCTTAAGGCTTTAATCAGAAAATCAAGCTGCACTCTTTCTTCAGATCTGAAAAAGTCTGCAGGTGTTTCTGCTTATCTTTCTACTGTGAGAAGACAATTCAGTGCTATAAGTCTGAAAGGATATGAAATCAAACAATTTGTAAATGGCAAATCAAATAAATAAGCTGCTGGTGTTCTCAGAACAAGTTTTATTACATGGAGTCCAGACCTTAACATTACTGAATGTTGGATCGTGAGAAGCAGAAAATGCAACCAACTTCTAAAGACTGAACTTTGGAGGTGTGAAAAAACATCCCCGCAGCTTTCTTTAAAAAACTGAAAGCATGTCTCCCACAAAGAATGGAAGCTGTAATAAAGGCACTGAAAAAATTATTATATTTAATTGTTATGGCTTAAATTAAGGTGTAATTTCTGTGTACTGTTTTCCCTTTTCTTCTTTGACACTTAACAAATGAATAACTTGCTTGGTTTCTAAGTTTGGTGTCTGACTTTTGAACAGAACTGTATGTTCTGTGCTTTTAAAACGATCAATATTTAAACAGTACCTTTTTTAAGGGTTTTCACAATGAAGTCTATTTGGTCCATAGGGGTACGAAAACTCCCATCATGCTCCAGCATCTCACCAGTGATTGCGTTTAAAATCTGCCAAAAAAGGAAAGACATAAACCAACACTATGAGAAATATTAGAGTAGCAAACCAATAATGCCTCTGCTGTAGACGCATAAGGACAAAGGAATTTCTGAACAAGGTGATAGTGTTTCCTAAAACTCTGATGGAAGATCAATTATAAAGTACTATTTTTATGACCTAAAAGCTGATTTATGAGTTTATACACAACTAAAACAACACTGTAAGATAATTATTACAGATACACTAGAAGTAATGTGATAAAAACATACTAAAACAATACAAATCAGTCTTTTAAAAGTGCAGTTATAAAGAAATAGCTTTTATACTTTATAAGGATATTTCAATAAATGAAACATTAATAAAAAAATTAGGTTATGCACATCTGCTTTAGATTTCTATCTCAAAACAGGGATGTGTAAATGGAGATAAAACTGACCGATTTGAGGGTAATGCTTGGAAAAAAGCCATTGACCACCATGTGGACAGAGTCTGACAACATGGTGGTGCGGAACTTCTCCAGTAAAAGCTTCTTGGAGCCCAGGCCATAGAGAAGTATGTTGAACCCCATCCTGAGGAAATGTATGCAGAAAATTGTAAAAAATTAACACAATACAAATGCAATACATCTAGTGGGGTCCACCAGTTACTTTGGAAAAGCTTCTAAAACATCAATAGTCATCATATTTTAAAATTTCATGATCATTTTACCATTAAAAATAAAAAACACATAAAACACTTTCTGAAACTCGCTGCAAACACATCTGACACACAACTCAACTGTAACTGCAGCATCCACTTGCTGAAATTCTTCTCGTGCTTTTTGTTAAGCTCACTGATCTCATCTATGTAACAGGAGGGCTTCCCATCCAGCAATCTGAGCAGTGTTTCCTGCAACACAACACGCAAAAGTTTTTTTCAGATACAAATAAATAAGTCTAATAGTAATTTCCTTTTGATCTCCTACTGGATGAACTTCACCTTAAGCCTGAGCTTAAGTTACCTGGCTAACTGAGAAATATTGCTTTTTTGAATACTTCCAGCTGTGTTAACTGCAGACAGTGGAACAGCACTGACCCGATCCAGTTTTGGAGTCTGGAGCTTCTGGAGAGTCCGGTCTGACGTCAGAACCTTCGAGCTGCTGTGAGCTTCAAAATATTCCTCCACCAGGTTGGGCTGAAAGCAGAAATGTTTACATAAATGCACACATACTTTTAGCACATACATACAAACACATATACTACACTGATTAAATTCTTTGAATCTAACTTTTGCCTTAAACGTTTTAAAGATCTGCTACCTGTCCTGAGACCAATAGGACCTGACAAAATATTGGGTTTCAAGCAAAGTTAGGGCTTATATTTCATGTACACTGAGCTCGGGATTGTTTTCTAATGAGTGATTATTCTCAGTAGTAGATATGTTTTCATTTGATTGAACACAATTTCATGCATTTCATTTTCTCTCTCTCCATTATAGGTTAGTGTGTGTGTGCAACAATTGAGACAGGGACATCTTCATTGTGGAAATATCATGACCTGGTCACTACATCAGATAAAAAGCACTACTGTCTTTACCACATTACATTTCCCATAGACGCAGCCTTTCCTCAGCAGCTACTAGCCAGAAACAAATGTTAGTGATATGAACAGAGTACTTCCTCATACCAGTTAGGTCAGTGTGAGGTACAGCGAAAGCTCCACTGTTGGATAGGCTTGTAGAGTTTTTTTTCTGTTTTCTATTGATCCAGTCAAGTGCTTAGTAACAAAAGCAAACACATGTGAAATTGTGTCTACAATCATCCATCTTTCTTAGTGTGTTAAAGTGGATTCGGATCAGGTTTGTGTTTCAAAAAGTCACAGATTAAAGCCACAGATGGCTGTAACACAGACAGCAAGAATCCCACCTCGGGCGCTTTCTTGCTCTTCTTGGCTGGTGTCTTGTAAAGAGCAGCGGCATCTGCAGACGTCTTACTGGGCGTTTTTGGCTGAGCTTCAGCTTTTGCCCCCTTTTCTTCATCATCATCATCTTCCTCCTCCTCCTCCTCCGAGTTTGAGGGGGAGAAATCACTGTCACTGTCTGACTTCAGATTTGGAGCTGAAAACAAACAAACAAACAAACAAACAAAGTGATCAACTTTTATCAAAACAAGAAGAGCATCTACCACTGTCAACTGACACGAGTTTAAATAATTTAACCAAACCTGATATCCTCTTTCTCAATCTGTGAGGAGTCGTAGAGACAAACTGTACTTTCTTCCCCTGGGGAAAAATAAATAAACAGGCAATAGGTAAAAACAGCTTATAAATAATATATGAAAATAAATACTTTAAAAGCATCTGATAAAATTTAAAGGGCTCACTTTTCTTTAATCAAAGATACTGATGTAGTTTGGTCCATAAATGGAAAATAGGCTGCAAAAACAGCCTGAATTTACTGTTACAGTGAAGTCACTCAAACCATATTATTTACATATATTCACTCATTCAGCCTCCAGCAGTTTAGCTCTGCCCATTCACACTAAAGTTATTAAGAGCATGGATTGCTTTTTGAATTAGGCATAATACTGGGCAGCCAATCAGAACAGAGCTCATTTACTTATATCAGTCTTAATGGCACAGTAGCAAAAACAGCCGGTTTAATTCTAAGGGATAAAGAGAGGTTGGAAAACTGTCATGGAAACACAAATTATGACAAAAGCAAACCTTTGCAAACCTTACAAGTATATCAGTACAACACCCCATGATATGGGGCCTTTCAATGAACAATACAAAAGAGAAATAACTATATTACATATAAAAGGTGAGCAGATGCTGTGTTCAGTGTTTTTGCATATTGTGGAAATTTTTGGGATTACCTTCTGAGGAGTTTTGTTTTGACTGGTCAACTCTGCAGTGGGGGCGGAGAAATGGAGGGGAATATACAGAAGAATTATTATATATATTACAGGCACATTAAACAGGAAAGTAAAACAGAAAGTGCAGTAAAGAGAGCAAGAGAAAGCAAGAAAGAGAGCGAGAGAATATGAAATGAGATGATGACTAACTGCGGGTTGCACGGGTAGGGCTGAGTGCCTCCTCGGGACTGCCAGGTGTACTAAAGGTGACACTTTTCCCAGGGGTACGAGCCCACTCCGACGCTGAAGAGAGGGAGAGAGAGAGAAAGGCCTAGTAAGGAGTGTGTTACAGTCCCTAATATCTCAAAACATTCACCAGATGGCTGATCAACACAAATATATATTAAGTACAAAATTTAAAAAAGGACATTAACCTCCTTGCCCTAAATAATACAGCTAATCAGTACTGACAGGTAAACCCTATGTATAGTCTTTGAGCTCTAACTATGGAATACAATAGAGTGGATCTGACGGAATTGAATTCTGGTCTCGTTATGTGAATGCAACTTTTTGTGGCTATAAATTGCTTTAAATAAATAAATATATATATATAAATAATCAAAGAAATCACTCAAGAAGCAGGGCTGATTCTACAGAAGTGGCTGTATAAATGCAGGAACCCAGGAACTCTTATGTATGGATAAAAAACTCTCTTCTGACATCAACTAAAAATTCCCTTCTAACTCACCCATCTGGGCCATTTTATTGGAGCGTTTGATGGTCTGAAACGTGAACACTGAAGCACCTGCAGTGACCGATCCATTCTCCTCTCCAGCTGCACAACAGAAAATTACAAAACAGTAACCACAATGACCACAAAATGAAAACAACTGAAATTAAAGGCCAACAAATGATTTCTTCAATAAAGGCTGAAAGTACACTGCTTAATGTCTGCAGTGTTTGTTTATTGATCATTTTACTTAAAATAATTTCAAACCTTAAAATAAATGTCAAACCTTCAGCTCCAGCTCCAAGCGCCTCCACATAGTTTTGCTCATTAAAAACTCCATCCTCCTCCTCTTCTTCTTCAGCAGCAGGGTTTGCCGATGGCTTTCTAGAGCTCCTCAGGCTTGCTAGAGTTTGTACTGAACCTCTGGATGCTTTAGATCCTAAAACACAATCGCAAGAAAAAGTCCAATATTGACTTTAGTCTCCTTTGCTCTCAAAGGGGTGTAAAGCCCCCCAGCACTGGGCTGTGGAGCAGTGGAACTGCATTCTCTGGAGTGATGGAGCTCCATCCAGTACCTCTGAGATGAGCTGGAGTGATCCAGAACTAATAATCCAACATCAGTACCTGACCTGACCTCACTCATGCTCTTAGCTGAATGCAAATCCTCACAGCAACGTTAGTACATCTAGTGTAAAGCCTTTCCAGAAGAGTTGAGGCTGTTACTGCAGCAAAGGGGGACATACTCTATATTATTACCCTTGACTTTGGAAGAAACATTGGAACATTGGATTAGCAAGCATTTACAAACTCTTGAGCATACATATATACAAGGTGCAAAATGAAATCTGGTCAGCGGTGGTCCTATGGTGGTCTTTTTCCATTGATGGATGGAGTAGGATAAAGTTGATGTTTTACATTAAGTAACTAAACCTACAACATCTAAATGCCACGTTTCTAATAAAATGGCCAGTGAGGGTGTACTCCCTCATTGGCCATACCATAAGTGGTAACCTACACTTAAAAAAAGGCAATGGTTCTATTTAGATGTGAGAGCTTTATAAAGCTACATCTGCATGTTTAAATGGTTCTTCACATGGTGAAATGGTTCTTCTGATTGACAGAGAACATGTTGTATATGGTTCTATACAGAATCTTTTTGAAAATGGTTTGCCAAAAAGGTTCTTCTATACTCTTAAAAAACATGGTTCTTCAAGGATTCTTTACTAAAGACAATGGTTCTATACAGAACCATGAACACTCAAGGAACCACTTGCATGCTTAAATGGTTCTTTGCATGGTGAAATGGTTCTTCAGATTGATGGACAATGTGTTGTATATGGTCCTATCTAGCACCAAAAAGGGTTCTTTAGCGCTCTTAAAAAATTTGGTTCTTCAAGGGTTCTTTAGTACAGACAACAGTTTATAGCACCAAAAAGGGTTCTTCTATTGCTACAACACAATAAAAAAAAGATGGTTCTTCAAAAAGTTCTTTAGAAAAGAAAATGGTTCTATAAAGAACCACAAACATTCAAAGAACTATTTGCATGATTAAAAGGTTCTTTGCATCATGAAAAGCTTCTTCAGAAAGTGCTGTAGATGGTTCTGTGTAGAACCTTTTTGAAATGAGTTCATCTGTTGTTACGTTATTGAGCTTGAATCAATAGAACTATTCTGGGTGCTTTGGGTTAAAAAGGTTCTACATAGAACCCTCTACTGCACATTCTGAATCAGTCTGAAAAACATGTCTCTTTACAGAACCATCTTCTTTACTAAAGAACCTTTGAAGAACCATCTTTTTTAAGAGTGCATGTTAAGCTTGTAACAAGAACAAGAACTCTTTTCAAAAGGGTTCTATATAGAACCGTTCTCTCACTAAAGAACCCTTGAAAACCGCTGAAAGGAAAGGAATGAGCGCATTAAAGCACTGTGTTTTTTTTTTGCAATAGCACAGAAAACAGATGTGATGTCACACCTTCTTGTTTCTCAACAATGTGATCCAGCACATCTTCATCTCCCACGAACCGGACCTCCAGAACCCCTGAATCAGCAGCGCGTTTCTGTGGACTCATATCGGACCTGTCAGTGGGAGAAACACCACATTTCTCGGTCGGTGCTTCAAAACACAGAAACTCATAGACTTGTTTATTTAGCCGTTTAGGTTAGCATAACACAGCGATAGCGAAACTGCTAAAGTAAAGGCTGCAGTGTGGCCGAGCTCACCCTGAACAAAAGTGATAATTTCATCCAAAAGTGACAGATTTTGAGACACTTCTCCACAAAGTTCTTCAAATTCAAACAGCACGGGCCAATATTTTCCTGGAATAGTACATTTATGTCAAACAGTCCCGCATTTTAAAGCGCTGTGGTGACACTGGAGCAGTTCAGCTCTGATTCCCCGCCACCAGAAAAATATTCATACCACGTGTGTGGAAGTGACGTGACGTCACCGCTGTAGTTCAGGGCTGTGTCTCAAATCGACTAGTTGTCCACTAGTGTAGTCCGCTAACTGGGGTTTCAGCTCATTTCACGGTGCACCTCAAAATGTAAGAGAGGAACAAGTGCCCTGTTTGTTTTATAAGCTGGAATACAGTAGGATTTAGAGTGCACTTAAGGAGCCTGTTTACACTTAGACACTGTATGTGCCATGGGTGTAAATCCTAGCAGACACATTGGAGACAGATGGCTGTCTGATCACTTGGACCACGTCAGGAGGTGGTTTGAGAGTCAATGTATCTGTTTCTTCAGAACACAAACATATTCTTCACTCTGCGCCAGTGGTGGTTAGCTGCCGCTAATGGCTACCACGGGTCCACTGCCAGGTGGAGAGATTCCTTCCACTCAAAGAAATCCAACTGATCATAAGTCAATCATAAGTGTTCAAATTATGCAGAAATACTAATTATGCCCAATCGCATAACCGCAGAACAATGAACAACTACATATATTAAACTTATCCGTTCATCCCTTTAATCACTGGGATGTAATTATCTCATGTGAGTTGCACTACAGTAGTTTAGTTTCCTCTATTACTCATTGTTGGAACAAAACCATGAATCTCTATTTTTGTTATTTTTTACCTTTTTTTATGAAAATTTGATAAAAATGCCAGCTGCCGCTTATCATTTTTTGATAAATGGACTAATAGAAATGCTCCATTAACATTTTTTGAAATGAGGTTTTGCTGCAGCACAGTGGACATGGTAGTGTTATGGGTAAAAGTGTTTTTGTTAAAAAAAATATCTTTTTAAGTTCTAATGATACCAAATTTGCTTTAGTGTTAAACACCGTTAACCCTTTTTCACAGAAGCCATATAAAGCCATTTCTGCCTTTTTTAGAGGAGGTTCCTCAGTTAAATTATGCATTTTTTTTCTTCAAAATGTTGAAATGATGAAAAATGTCCTAACAGTATTTTGTGCATGTCTTTAGTGGCATGTTGCTTGCAACAAGCAGGAAAATCGGACTGTATGAAGGCCAGCATTCATGAATGTTTCTATGGGGGTTTTTGTGAAATGTATAGCATGAACCCGTAGTATAGATGATATGCTATGGTCTCCGTGGCTCATGAATGGGACTTGGAGGTGAACGGAACAGAGTTTAAACAAAAACTCAGCAAAACTATCTGCAGCAATGCGAAATGTGAACTTATTTTTATAAAAATAAATTAATAAACTCTATAAAAAATGTTAGATACCTTTTAAAAAAGGCATAAAGGTACGTATATGTATTTCCCATATGCCTATCCTGTCCTTCATCCCTTTTTTAGTAGCTAAACAAATCTATCACTTTTGTTCCCTAGATAGTAATTCACTGGAACTGGTATTTGAGACAGAGCGCTTGTCAACAACCTGGAAAACTCCAATGCCCATCACCCCACACTTCAGCCTGATTTTTTGAGTAAAGAACAGAAGAAGAATAGCTTACAGCAGTGGCGTAACTACTGTGGGGGTCAAGAGGGGCAGTTGCAGTGGGGCCCATAGCACAGGGGGCCCGTGACAACCAGGCCCCCTAAAATTTAACAGACATATAGTGACATAATATGTAGATACTGACACATCTGTACATCCATGACTCAAAGACAGACCCAGTTTATTACCAATATCCCTCACCAGTTAGCTTCCATCAACTTTGCACTGACATAACTGACATCTGTTTGTCTCCCTTTTATTAATAATGCAGCTCATCCATGATAACTGCTTTCATGTGGACCCTTCACGACCTGCATCATATATTCAGTATAATTCTAAAATCTTAAGTAAGTAGTCTAATGTAACGTTTAGGTTAGGGCTAGGGTTACATGTTAGTGGGTGGGATGGCATGCCCTGAGACATAATAGCAAGTAAAACGAGCCAATTACATGGTCATTTTATTCATTGAAAGTAATTATTGTATGGAGGGCCTGACAGTTCTAGTTACGCCACTGGCTTACAGAATGTGTTTAGTGGATTTGTATTATTCAACCAATCATTAAGTATTGAGATTGAGCATTATGTCTAATATATACACAGACATGGAATGTAGATCACAGTTGGTCAACAGCATAATGGCTGTAGATCCATAGGATCCAGTTCCTATGTTCGAACCAAGGAGCCAGTTCCTTTGTTAATTTTTAAAAGCAGTCTTCTAAACCATTCTGCAAGGACAGGTTTCATAAAAGCCACTGCGCTCATGCTTTGAATCTGCAATAAAATCTGTATGTGAAAACCTGGCCATGCAAGACTGGATATAAGAAGACCATTTTAATAAAACTGTCTGGCTGCTCCACGGCTTATCGATACGAAGCAGAGCCGAGATTTGCCACTCAGGCCTGCGCCGTACTCCTTCCCAAAATGTCACGCGATAATGGCCTGAACATTTTCAATCAAGCCAACACACGGAGCATTGTCTCTAAATGTCACTGACCAGAACCGAAAGATCAAATTCAGCCTTTCAGAATGAAAACACTTAAATAACCAGCGTGGTGAAAAGAAAACTTTAGCACTGCTTTGACTGCTTGAAAGAAAGCACTGTTTCTGTGGTTTACCTACATGGATCCCCTCCATTTTTAGTCAAAATGGCCTTTATTTGTTGTTTAAAAGACAGTTTGTGTCCATTTTTCCCTCCTTTTTTTTCTTTTTTAGGAAACCCACTGTCAGTTTTTAGAGAAATCTGCAGGAATATTTACCACACCTCCAAAGTTCAGTCTTAGAAGCTGGTTGCACTTTCTGCTTCTCATGGCTTCTCATGTAATCCCACATTTAGACTCAACAGCCCATAAACCTCCTCCAGTTTCAGTGTTCTAGTCCAAATATTCCTTTTTTGTCTATTTACGTTTTTCAATAAGGGCTTCTTGACAGCTACACATCCTTTCAGACCCACAGTGCTGAGTTGTCTTCTCACTGCAGAAGGATGGGCTGTGGATTTTTTCAGATCTGAACCAAGAGTGGAGCTTGATTTTCTCCTCTCTCTCAAAAATGAAAGCTTTTGGTGGCTTACCAGGTCTTGCAGGTGCTTGTTAGGAGTCTTCTCTGAATCTTTTAATCATTTTTTGAACTCCAGTTTTGGAAACTCCTGTTGATCCACTTATTTTCCTTTGGATTTATTGCACAGCCTCAAAGTAGAACTATTAAATCACAGACATTGTTTCACCTGCCTTACAATACACTGAGCTCTACACATCATGAATCATCATGATAGGCTTCTCACGGTAGTCACTGACGTTAAAGGATGTAACTCATTTGACTGTGATACGCTACTAGCAGCGGCCACTGGTTTTCACTGTTAACAGTGACTGATTTTCATGGATCTGTTTCTCACTGTTACTCTGACAGGCCTCTAACAATAGTCATCATTATCGTTGGTTAATCTATGTTCTTCTGTCCAATGGTAAATTGATTAATTGCAAATTAATTGCAAAACCTTTTCTCTGTTGTGTTATTGTTTTGCTATTTGATGTTAACCAGAGGAGATGGTTTCTTCCTCTTGCTCTTAGGGAGTTTTTCTTTGCCACTGTCGCCCTTGGCTCAGTCATTCAGGCTGAGACCTGGATTTTCTATAAAGCTGCTTTGTGACAACAGCTCTTGTAAAAAAGTGCTATATAAATAAACTTTGACTTCACTTGATCATTCAAGTGGGTTATTTTACCTAATCTCCTCAGAAATATCCCTTTTAGCCTTTCATTTAGATGCAAGAGAAAAAAAAATGGAAGAGTTAAAGTGGCAGTGAGTGCAAAAAAAGTAAAAAGTGGACACATTATGTGCTGACAGATTTAACCGTATATCTAGTGTTGGAGCTGTTTGTGTAACTTAATGTTAAATATATGTTTCTTGCTTTTTTACTCTGACACTGAAGATGAATAACTTGTACTTAATAATCGCTTGGATGGAATTTAAATAAATGAAAGGGTGGTCTCTGAGTCCCCAGTTTCATTATTTTTTTGTCTAAATTCATTTTGTTGTGTTGGTTCAGCTCTGGACTGGACTGCTTTGCTGTTGATCCCAAACCCCTTAAGCATTATAAAAGAATCTCAAAAAGAGAAGAATAGCAAAGCTATCAAACTTCAGCTTCTCTGTTGAAAGATGCTGGATGTACTAAAAAGCTCCACTGTAATCCTCTAGGGAATTTAGCCCTTACCTATGGCTTCTGGCACAACATCCTGGCAAACGCTCATTGCATAAGAAACACCATTGTAGGCTCTTTGAATGTGGGCTTTGTGTTTATGGCACTAACGGCTGTAGCTCTCCAGTGAGAATTGAACCTATGACCCTCTACTCATAGGTCCAGCCCCAGCCCATACTGCTAGCCCCAGGCGTTCCCTCTGAACAGTAAGGAATCATCTGTTTTCTGAGAGGGTCCAGTTACATACAGGCCAAGAGCAGATGGCTCTTTCAAACTCTATCTGGAACCTTTCCAACACACTCAGGCAGTCTCCTAGTCATTTTAACGCTGTATCCTTGGTTGGGTTTGAAACCTCTGTTAAAGGGCCCATATCCTACATTCTTGTAACTGATGGCCATTGTCCACTGACTCTATATTCATTATAAAAAAAACAGGCTGTCCTGCACTGTGCCTTGTTCAAAAAGTAGTTCAGACTGAATCTCTCCTTATAACTTAAACATGAATAGAGGGATATATATATATATAAATCTCTTTATTTTCGTGATAGCACTGAAGGATGCAGACATTAGAATAGAATTTAATGCCTCTAAAAGCAACATCACAAAGTTATTTCACAAATTGGTTATAAATATGCTGCCTGAAGCATGAGACATTATTTTACAATAGTTTTGCAATCAGCTTTTGGGCTACAATGTATTTTTCAAAATCCATTCATGGTGGAGAGGTACATGCAGGGCAAAACAGTCCCCAAAGAAAACTTATTTTTTCAGATTTGACACTATTTTATCATCATCAACATTACATATAAAAACTCAAGACACAGGTAGGTTCACTGGTGGCTTTGGACAGTAAATTCAATGGCTAAATTTGTGCTGCAGACATCTCCAGCCCTGGTTCCTATCACCACCATTGTAAAGAAATATGAGCTAAAGTTTCTCCCCAATTGAACCATTTCACACATCAAACCACTCTGAATGACTTACATCTCAAAAAATGAATTACGTAGAAATTTTCAAAAAAAGGGTGGATTTCCCCTTTACTGATCTAATTAGGCAGAAATCTTGGAAAAAGAATTTCCTTTTAAGTGTATCCATGTGGAGCTACATGCTATTCAGCTCTGCCAGTGAGTGACACCATGTGCTACAAGATCAGGCCAAATTAAAATCAATAGTTTACTCAACTATCAACAGTCCCAGTAACCCACTGACTGCCACATCCTGATTTTCACTACCAAAAATTAGAAGCTGTTTGTTGTTTGAAATTCCACTAGGGGGCAGCAGAGGACTGCAGGGCCAGTGAGGCTCCATGTAGGTTGGAGTGGATGAACAGGTCATGCTGACTGTGGATGTGTGGCCTGTATGACTCCATTGTCAATGGACTGTGTCACACAACCATTCTCAGCCAGTGTTTTATAGGCTCTTCAAAAAATATACTGTAGATGAATTGTATTCCTTGCTAATTTACTTCAAATGATCCAATGCAGTGTAATAGCATAAAAAAACCAGCAAACAGGCAGCTCTCGTTTAAAGTGAAAATTCATATTTTATTGGTACATACATTAATTTAGTCAAGGGCAGAAACTAAGAAAAAAATAGATATATCAAAGAAGGGGTGTCTACTGGGTTAGAAGAGGGACAGATCACCATTTAGTTTCAATTACAAGTGCAGGGCTGGCAGAAATCTCACAATTTTAATGGAAATGATTTAAACTGGGCAGGGTACCAATTAAAAAAAGAATACAAAAATGACCAATGGATTTAATGAATAGGTAGACTTAGATTTCTGTCTCCACATGGTAACTGAAACATGGTCCACACAAGTTAAGGACTTGTCTATGCTGACATGCACTTAACAAAATAACCTGTTCGTACAGGTTATTTGACAGAACGACCTGAAGACAGAGACAATGGATCAATAAATCACATTGGCTAATATACATAGTGGAGCGATGCTATCTAATTTGCTCGTACAGGCCTTGAAATCCTCATTGTCACATAATGGCTGATACCATCATTTTTACGCTTTTGGTTGGCCTTCATGTACAGCATACACTCAGACCATGGACACACAGATCAATCCGGCGTGACGGTGCCCTTTTCTGAATCAATCAATTACACAAGTTCATAAAATTAGGGGAGAGCAGGGGGAAAAGAAGACAGGTCTGTGTTTTTTTCTTTTCACTTTTTTTTCTTTTTTTACACATCGGATCAGAATGGCTTTAGGTAATGCTAAGGAAGAATACATTTCCATACAGTTATACAGAACTTTGCTACTACCTTAAATATACAAGCACAAGTACACAAAATGAAACAAAAGCCCACACTAAATTACTCTCTTTTTTAAAAATAATACAAACCAATATAATTTGAGGGTTGAGATTTTAAGGACCTTTAAAGTCCTCGTAGCTCCTTGGTCTGTAGCTTTCAATGTCGGTAAAAAAAAAATCAAATAAAAACATTCTAGGGAAATAGAGGCTGGTATAAAATGCAGATAAAATTTTCCAAAATGCTTCGTTTTTAAATGCTCTCCATCTCCCCCTTTTTAAAACCTCGACCATTTCCGGGCTGTTCTACAGCGTGGTGGCGGTGGTGGTGTACTGGGTTTCATGTGTTGCGACATTAGTCCAAATATTCCCCTAACAGCAGGGAATGGTTTGAATGAAAGTATTCCCGCTCCTGCTCCAGAATGGGTTGGGTTTCAGAGCAGGCAGATATCAGCCTTCACCTTTTGCCAGTTTGAGAGCGTGTATGTGTACGCTTTGCTGGCGTTTTATATGTTGGTCTTCTCCTCTGAGGATGAAACAACCAACTCCTTCCTTAACTTAAACAATATGAACTATCTACACCTTCCTTGGAGAAGCTCTCGGACCATAAAACGCCAACAACTTCACGGCTACTGTATTAATATTAAAACCCAATACGATTATCTGCTTCATTCACATTTAAACGTCCCAGCTTTCATTCCTCTGGCCCTCAGTCTCCATCTCGCTCATTCCTCCAGGGCGCTGAGACGGGGCGAAATGGATGGCCGCCGTTTTTTGTGTATGTGGTTCTTGTGTGTACATGAGTGAGTCAGTCTTCCGCAACCTCGCTGCCACCTCCTTACGCCCCACCTCCTCCGTGAACCCACCCCCCCTTCACTTTCCCACCCCTCCCGCCCTGAGTCTCACTGAGAGGCTTGCGAGGTGGGGTTGTCGCTCTTACTCTCCTGACTGGACGGAGCCTTGTTGTTCCAGGGGCTGTTGGCACCCAGCGCGGGAGAGTTGTTGAAGCTGTCCTCGTCGTCGATGCCATTGGCCGCATCAAACTGTGTGTTCTCGAGCCGTGTGATCAGGCGCTCATCTTCATCGCCAAACTCCCCTCCCATCAGAGTGGGCTCACCCACAACCATCACGTCCTGCAGGACAGCACAAATCATTAAAATACTTGGCAGGACAAAGTGAAAGCAAATACCCACTCATTTTAAAGGATTCTACCCTTTGCCACCTGATGTCTGTGGCTTTATTCATCAAAACCAGTGGTAATTAATTTAACCTTTCTTTATCAGAAACAAGCACACTGTTTTTGTTACTGTGCTTGTAAGACTGGTAATACGTACAAGAGTGGTCTGATTCAATCTCATTCAAAAAGCAGGTCTGGCTAAAATGTAGAACAAACTTTAGTTCAGACAGAAATCCTTAGAGATGTCAGAAAGACATATCAACCAATTTTGGTTCTTTAGCAAGGCTATAATGATACATTTGTGTCCCGCCAGCCAGGAATGGCACATTAAGAGTGAGTTTAAACTTCTAGTTCGGTTCCCTTGGTCCTGACCAAAGCAGAAAACGATAGATTGCTGCATTTTGGTCCGGGTCCCTTAGTGTTCACACTAACATAATTAAATCGAACCAGAAGATGTAAACAAAAGTATTACAAATAAAAGGTCACAACTGACTGGGGAGATTTTATGATGTAGAATAACTGTGATAATGTCCACCAAATTTCTGAATCATGTTGTTCTGTGTTCTATCTGAGCAATACTGGCGGAGACATACTGGCACCGTAATACATATTATAATATATGCGTGCAGTCAAATGTGTACATTGAGAATTTTACAATGACTTCAAATGTGCTCAGCCTCATTTTAAATTTCAAACTGTCCATTCTATAATTATCCATTCAGAGCTTAGGAAAGGAAAACACATCATGTATCAAAACAGCATCACAAACTCGTCTTTTCCATGTACCAAGGAAGTTCTACAGAGGAGACAACGGATCATTCCGCCTTTAGTCCATTTAGATGTCTTTGATCCATATGGCGTTCATACTTTAAACGAACCACACTAGAGTTAGTCTTAAAGCAAACCAAGACTGATCAGCTCAGGGGATTCATTCCACTTACTTGTTACGCACCAACAGAGTGCACTGACAGAGCAATCGCACAGGGTTCATTTTAATCGAAACCTGCAAAGTCTGAATGAACCCTAAATCATTTTTCCTACATCCTCTGCTCCAATAACTCTAACTACAGCCTGTCCGCAGTAATACTTCAGTATGAATGGGCAGAGCCAATATGTTGTAGGGTTTATGAATGGACAAGTGTAAATATTCATGGTTGTTTCGGTATATGAACCATACAAGTTGGAGAGTAAGTAGGATTCGCTGAAACCATGTACCAATACATCAAAATAATAATGCACCTTTTCACACTAAATCACTCTGAAATACTTTGTTTACATGTCAATGATTAAATTATGCAGAAATTTGAAAAAAATTGGTGGAATTCTCCTTTAACATACTAAAAGCAGGCAGTGAAAGAAGCTAATGTCAACATGTGCTTGTTTGAGGTCTGCTTACAGGTACTTGGCTAGAGAGAGGGAAGCTGCCAGCAGGGCTTTTCTTCTTGCTGTTGTTGTTGTTGGTGGTGCCTCCTCCTGCACTCATGGTGCTTCCGCCTGAGATCTTACGCTTCCGCCGCTTGTTGGGTGCCTGTCGCGCTGGTTCCGCTGAGGAGAAACAGACCAAACAAAGCTTGAAGTTTAGCAATACTTTGTGGAAGCAGAAGTCCAGCTAGTGCTTGCAGCAGCAACCCGTTTACATTAATCTGTTCTGAACAGTGAAGAATTTATCAAGAACCAGAAACAGATGCTGAACATCTCCAACATTTGTATTTTTTTTTTTGCCATGTTGGGATACTGTGCAGGAGGTTTCCTTCAAATCCATACTGCATAGAAACTAATAAGATTCTCTACAGAAAACACATGTGAGAGCAGGAAGAACGACAAAGCCTAGCCTGATGAAAAGCAAATGTCTGCCTACCTGGTGGAGCTACCATCCTCTGCCACTTCTGGAACAGGCACGTCTTTAGACAGTCCCTGGGGCTCAGGCTGTACGTCTTATGCCTGGACATGAGCTCCTGCATTGGCTCCAATATCACACACAGCTACAGACACAGAGTGAAAACATTCTGGTCAGAATCTGCTATATTGTGTTTATCTTGAGTAATGACAATAGGCTATATAGCAACCAGATATTGCAGAGCATGAAGAAAACAGCACAATCTGAATTTTATAAGGGGCCTGTATTCCAGTAATTTTCATGTTTTCATAATGATATTATGGTAGCAGCAGGTTTCACATGCAGCATTTTCTCAGCCATAAACCAAACTATTCCAGCCATGAAAATACAGTCACGGGGGGTCTTTGAATGTTTAATGTGACATGCTCTGCAGTGGCTGATTTAATGGCATTGTGACAAAAGCCTATGAAAAACCTCAGTTTACATATATATTGTTGCTGTCGGACAAAAACCTCATATCTCCGAAAACCTTTCTTAAATTTTAATAAAAGTCCATGTAAAAAGGTTGTATTTGAGGTTATTTGGGATCACTTCTATTGGCCCTTTCATCATGAAATTTTAAACACAGTGTAAGTGGCAGCTGGCATTTTTAACTTATGTCAAAATGACAAACAACAAAAATTGGGATAAAAGATTTTGTTCCAACAGTGATGAGATACAGTATGTTTGAACACCCCAGTCAAATTACGTAGCGATGATTTTCTACGTGAAAAAAAAATGAACACATCCTCCACAGAACAAACTTAATATGGCATTCTCTGCACATTTTAGCACACATTTTCTATTTATTTGTTGAGTCAAACAATAAAAAATTATATATTTTATATTAATATGTTCTATAACTTTTGCACAGGCCACATTTTGTATTTAATTCCCTCCCCCTCCAACTTGTAACAGCAACAACAAGTTAAAATGTGCGGAATCATGTTCTCTGTAGATGATGTTAACTTATTTTCAGTAAAAAAATCAATGAAACATGTAATTTGACCCAATCTTTTGCATATGACTGCAGCTCTTGCCGTGCACCTTTTATAACAAGTTTTTTCACCAAGAGCATTTTTGTATAGATTTAAAGGCATTAAATCTTTATCATATAATCTGACTTTCAGCACAAATGATATTGCAGTCTGTCACGAGAGATAACTTGCAGCGCTTTGTGCAGTGTGAGATTCAATAAACTACAAAACCTGAGTTCACAGTTGGCTAGCCTAATTACAACTAGTCCAACTAACATCTCGTTCATTTGCAGCAGCCATAAACCTGCCAGACATCCTTTTCTGTAACCGATATAACAACAAGATCATTTCACAACTCTCAACTAGATCAGACTTCCATATGGATGTGCTTTCAATGATAGTAGGGCTGTCACTATGAAGAAATATCATAATCACGTAATGTGCTTATTATTTTGACAAATAACCTTTTTTTTTATTTTTTAAAGGAGGCAACCAACCTTAACGGAGCAATAGCAAACTATGGACAGCCTTTCAAATTTTTCAAAAAAACTTTCTTGAAAAAAGAAACCGCCAAGCCTTTAAAAAGAACTTAAAAATGGAAAAACATTAAGATTAATCTGGTAAGAAAGACCTGTAGGAAAACATAAAATATACATTATCAACTTGCAAACTGCCAGCTAATCACTGCTGATCCATCAAGAAGGTAGATTTTAACAAATGAACAATGGATTCTTCTTAAATAAACAAGTTTAGTTGAGTAATTATGACTGCACAGTATATAAACAGCGGTTTTATGAGTAAGGTGTAGGTGTAGCAACATGACCAATTTTAAGTCATGTTCAGAAATGTGTAATTTTGCCACTATAATGTTTTATGAGAACAGCACTGTCACTGTGAGACAGCTGGTACATATGGATGCTGGATGAGCACTCACTCGGAGGTAGTTTAGAGTGGAGTTGGAGAGGCCGCATCTTGTGATGTTCTTAGACAGCTGGTCCACCATCTGCGGGTCCTGGGCCTGGAAAACCAGACAAGTGACTTTTCAATATCAATGTTCTGACATCTCGGAAAGATGACTATATCCACAGTTAGTGTTAAGGGAGCAGGGTTTGGCACATACATGCATAGCCAGGATGCTGCGGGGGATGAGCTCTCTGTGCTGCCTTATGCTGAAGTGCCACGTCTTTATCCTCATCATGTCATCAAACATGAATTCCAGGTACAAACGCCCCTCCACACAGACCTGCAATGACACACAGATGTGTTATGGTATGTTTATGTACATACACAAACCAATTCCAAGTAGACAACTGTTAAAGTAATGTAAATAAATGTAAAAACCAGCACCATAATCATTAGTCCACACTATACATTTGCAAAACCATCATTTAACACTGACTCTTTTTTCTATTTTTATTATGATAATCCTGAAATAACTGAATGGATTAGGAGTCATGTATAAAAAGTATACATATTTAACTTGGCAGCAGTATCAGGAGGGATGCTATTACACTACTGCTGGTGCCAGTGACTTACTAGCTGTTACACCAACTAGCTACAAAATGCTCTTTAAATTATTTAAGTTACCATTAGCTACCACAAGCAGATAATGGCATATCCTGTGCGGAGATCCAGTGGCGAACCTTGGCTATTAGAGCTAGGCCTTCTGTTTGGGCCATAAATGTCAAAAAATACCTCTACAATCATGCTAATTTATGCTAGGTCTTTATGGGATTCTAGTAGTATGTCAGCGCTAAGCTAAAGGTGATTTATATAGACTTTTTCTGGTCCAGATGTTCTGGATTAAAACATGGACATTTGAAACCTGTAAAAGACATTCAATGTCTTATTTCCAGCTTGTAACATACATGCTATCATATCTTACTTTGTAGCAGTTTTATAGTGACTCTTACAGTAAAGAGTGCTGACACAGAGCTGCTGCAGTTGTTGTTCATTTCTAACAACTGACTGAAATGCACTGCACAGGCTACCTCTTTTACTTGTGATACGTCTAATGGAATCTAATGCAATCCAGAGGAAGAGCTCTCTTGGCTGTGTCTATCCAAATATCATGGAGAAAAAAAATTTCTGATGGACAATTTTCCATTGGGCATTTCAAGAATTTAACTCTTTTATTTCCAACCAAAACTTAACAATGGATTAAGAAAATTACTACAATACATGCAGCATTTAAATACAATAAGCATGAAATAAAATTCATTAAAAATATTGACACGGGGCCTTCTAGGCCCTGTGGTCTCATCATGAATTAAACAGGTTTTCTTTCTAACCAGGAGATGTTTAGACACTTTAACTAACTAACCATCGTATGTCCTGTGTTATTTTTATCTACATCAGACAGGGGATGGCATAACAGAAGAGTATCAGGTACAGTTTGTCTGAATAGCGTTTGCTCATTTCAAAATCTGGCAGTCCCATCAATGAAGCAGTCATTACACTGTCCTCTCAAAACCATAACCTGGCCAAAAGGCCACTGTGTCTTTCTTAAACCAATGCTGCACCGATTGTGAATATCACTAATTATTTTGAATAAATAATGTCAAAGGTATGACACATGGTCACCTTGAAAAGCTCTTAGATTTATCATATCTAACTCCCCTCACCACACAATCACAACTCCAACCTGTCTGCGGCTGTATGGCTTACCTGTGTGAACATAGGCTTGCCATTCTGAGTGACCATCGTACACTGGTCACAGTCCAAAGAGACAAAGTTATTGTGGAAGGACTCTTTAGGGTGTTTTAGCACATAGTAGAGCTCAGTAGCACCTCCTTCAAATATACTGCGGAAATAACGAGGAATCAATGTCCGGCCAATTGCTGAGGAGAGAAAGTACAATTTCCCTCTATTAAAATCATGCAATATCAAATAATAATTAAACAACTTAATTAACAAAGTATTATGCAATATTAAAGAAAAGTACATGCCCACTGCCAAATCAAATATCTAAAATGTACTTGAAATGACAGTGTTTTCATCTTGTTCAGAGCCTTACTGTATCGCTTGGGGCCGTCTTCTAGACAGAAGGTGATTGTCAGCATGGCATCATCTTCAAAAAACTCTGTGGTGAAGGCATCCCACCACAGGTTATCACACTCCTGGAAGGAGGCAAGTAGAGGGAGAGAGAAAAGGTGAGAAAGAGTGAGAGAGGGCTATAAAAGGAGACTAACAGAAAATTCTCAAGATCAAAATAACATTCATCATCAACAGTGTGCGTTCTGCTGTTTCTAACAGCTACAGCCTTTATGTAATCTTCTCTATATCTGGAGAACTCCACATTCTTACTTTAAGGCACTTTGGAAAAAGCAACTAGTTTCAATTTGTTCTGGAGAATGTATTATGTATTAAATAAATAATTACAGCTGTCAAACAATAATAATAAAAATAAAAAAATCAAACATATTTTGTGTAGTAAATTGTGACTAATCAGATTTTTTTACTCAGATTTGACCCTAAAGAAGTATTTGAAAAACCATTGCATTCTTTGTAGTTGTATGAGAACAAACCAAGCTTCATCCGAATGTCTTTATTACATTCAATAATTTAATGATATTATTTTAATATTGTAAATGCTGGGTTCACGTGAATCTGAACATGAAAATCAAACAACACTGCCTGCACGTTCCAACCATGTATATATATATATAAAATGTATTCACATATACACAGATACACACACACACACACACACACACTACATTGTCACTGTTGGAACACAACCCTGGGTCCAATTGTTGTTTGTATTTATGTTTTTACATCGCCCTTTACATGGTGTCCAAAGTGCATGGTCAATGAACTAATTGAAATAGCCCAAAACTGGTTTGTATAATACCTTGTTACATTAATTACATTAGTTAAGAAGGTTTTTTTCCTTGTCCCGTAGAACTGCCATTTTGGACGTACAACAATAGCTTTAGCGTCAATAGCTTTAACGCCTTTGTGATTGAAGCCTCTTGCTCTCCTTCATACAGCTCATGAATTCTTGTTACACTTGAGGCTCTAAAGGGGAACTGGAGCTTTCCACTTTGCTTTTGCTCGTTAAGTTTGTTTGTTTTATCCATAGGTCTCCCGTGAGCACTGTCCAGCATAGTCTGCCCAAGGTATTGCTTTAAAAGCCATTCTTAAACTGTATTTGAACAAGCAGGCTATAATCATGGATTTTATCATAGCAATACACAGTGCACGAGCAGCTATGCTTCGGCCTGGAATTACAACAGACAAATTGAAGTCTACAACATTACCTTTGACAGCCCTAAAAATAATACTTTTGTTACAAGTATAAAAGTAATACACAATGATAAATGTTGTATCAACCACGACATACAAAACCATAATCATTAACTTGTGAATCAGTGCTGCCCTCATGTTCCGCATACAGGACCCAGAGACGGTTTAGAAGTGGAATTTCCCCTCAGGCATGTAGGACTGTAGGATTCTTTACGGTTGTGCCTTTGCTCACCTCTGTCCAGTTCTGTAGCCGTTTGTTGAGCTCAAATATCCTGTAGTCTGTCTGGTTCCCATACGGCGTGTGCCTCCTGACAGACAAAGAGAAGGAGTGGAAAACAGAGACACTTTGATCCTGACCATAGCTCTTAATGCCTACATAAACACAAATGAATCTCTGTCCAAGTACTCTCAAAATAACTTCTCTACAGAGCTGGTAATACAAAGGTTAGATACAAGTTACTGGTGGGGGATATGGAAAAACTGGCATCACAATATTTCTTATATAATAAGATCGAATGATAGACAGCTGGAAAACACAATGGCAAAAAGTAGTGCCACCTTTTAAAACAGCCATTAAAACTGAGCACACTGACGACTATTCAATGTTTGTAAAAAAATAAAAATATTTAAGAAGGAACACAAGTGAAAAAAAACAATGGTAAAAATATATATTTTTGTTTATGTGTTAACTGTACTCCGTTCTAGGCTCTCTATAATTGGTTGAAATCTGTCTTTTTTTATGATACATGCAGTTATTCAGTGGTGATACCCAATGTATTCTCAGGAAGGAGCATTGTAACATTAACTTACCCTATCCCAGGCTCTAGGTATGTTGGTGGGTACATGGGCGTTGGGCTGCAAAGCAAAAAAAAGAAACATATCAAACAACTCAATAAAGATAAAATACCACTTCAGCCACAACAAATGCCTCAATGATCACTGATCATGGGCTTATAATAAAATATTTTTCATATAATCAATGTGCTTTTTTTATCGTCAAAACATTGAGAATGGTGCTGAAATCCACTGATGTGCGTTTGCACCATCTTTAGCAGAGCTGATGATTCAGGATTAAGTCTTATTCCCCCTGTGGGCGCCATTTCAGACAGGAAGGGGATCGTTTCCTCCCCAGACGCGGTTTTTCCCTCTTATCTCTATGGTGCAGTGAAGGCAGACACACATGGCATCCACAACACTTTCAGCAACCCCCTCCCCTCGTATGTCCAATCAGAGCAGAGGCTGTTGACTGACAGCTCAGTTTACCACAGACATGGCGGCATCAGCACCAGCAATTCCTTAGCCCACTATCTTCCTACAACCAAACCACCGTTGGCTGACTCAGCAAAACCGCCATCACCACCAAACACAAAGTACTGATAAGTATGTTTTCCTGCTTTTTACAATTTTATGAAGTTGCATCACTTTTACACCTTAAACTGCAAGGGTCCCTGCAATTTCTCACTTTTATGACTTACTTATAAACCCGCTTGTTGGTTTCATAGTAATTACTGAATAATTTATATTAGTTACTGAGTAATAAGTTGTTACATTTTAAAGACAATAAGATTTTTTACTATGTTGGTAGTTGATCTACCAAATATTTAGACAAGTGGTTCTCAAATCAGTCTTCAGGGCCCCCAGATGGTCCATATTTTTGCTCCAACATGACTCATAATCCATACGGATACAGCAAAAATGTAGACCATTTGGAGGGCTCTAAGGACCTGTTTAAAAAGCCCCTAAAAAAACACTAAACTGAAGAACATAAAACATTATGTGTCAAAAAAAGTGTGTCCATCAGGCTTTGATTCTTAATGCAGGACAAACCAACAGGAGAATATAAAATATTTATCATCATGCAAACTGCCAAATCACTGGCAATTTACAGAAAAGATAAATTTCAATCTGTGATTTTTTCAATCGAGTAATCAAATTTGAATCTAATCATAACAGTCCTAAATACGTCTTAGGTTTAATAACTGTATAATAAGCGTACAGATTAAGGGGTCAACTTAAATACAACATGAAGAAACCTAGTCAGAATAACCCAGTACCCGTAACAGGCGTAAGGGCTGAACGATTGCTGTGCAGGGAAAAGCAACAACAAAACACACTGACATAGTGATTATTATGGAAACAGTCAAAACTAATTATATGTAATTTAGCCTAGCCTGACTCACCCCACGTCTCTGTCCAGCATGGTGCCGGGATGGAAGGGGGGAAAGGCGCTACCGTTGGGGGGCTCCTTTGGGGAGTACAGCTTGAATGACTTGGAGGAACAGCCTGAAAGAAACAGAATAGAAAAAGAGGAACACTGATTAACTACAAGCTGGGCCAAACAACTCTAATGCTAATGTATCTCTGGAAAACTGAACAACTGCAAGTATCATAAAAAAGAGCAGACTATAGGTGCTAGAGTTTTTTGTCTTGGGGGACCGAAGTGCAATGTCTGTGGAGGGCTGAGGGCACTTTGGTGAGCCCTGTTTTAGAATGATTACAGATATAAACAACAACAATCATAGCATGGTGCAACAATCAAAGCCAAAGCACCTACAAGAATCATGATGATTTTAGTCCCATGGCACACTTGTATATTAATATTTATACAGTGGTATATATCATCATTTATACAGCGCTATGTATCAAACAGTGGAATGCCCAATGATCACTTAACTAACTAATGATTATGATACGGTGATTTTAATTATTAACTGTAATTACAAGTGATTGAACCTATAAAAGCATTTAATCAATTTGCTAGAAATATTGGAGATTGACCAGCATATTCATAACACACAGTGAAAAATATATGCTCTAAAACCAGGCAGGATTTAACAAACTATGTGCTTTAAACCCAAAACAGTGACAAAAAACAGTCCACTAACAATACTGTAAACACTCAAATGGTTCACCTGAAAAATGTACAAAAATGTACACAAATTTACCTTTGTTCAAACATAGTCAATCAGCAAAGACAAGCTTATGTAGCTAAAAAATAAGTCTGTCCTTTTGGGCAAAACCATTTGGACCTATACACCCATTATATCATGTTCTGGATGATCAGAATTTTAGACATTTAAAACGAGTACTGGTATTGGCCACAAGTGTTGGACACCAAACATCTTGGCCGACCAACTGCATTTGGGGTTCTTTGGTGAACCATTTCTTGCAGCATTACAACGCTACTGAATGCCAGTCATAAAGACTAGGTTATAACTTCATTTACATTTGATGATTTACATCTGATTCAGAAAGCTTTCTGACTGTGTATCCATGAGAGCAAGGGTCATTTTGACAGCGTCTTTGGACAAGACAGTGGCTGCCAGATATATAGGGCAATATAGTTTGCCCTCATTTCAATCCACTACACAGGTCACGTCCACACACACGCACACACACACACACACACATCTATAAACGGAAGGCAGGAGGGGGTTGTGGGGTGCAGACACACCCCTCACTCTATCTATCCCGCCAATTAAAAGGATCTACTGCACAGCGTATTCAGCCACGACAGGGTCGTGACCTCTGCCGTCACGGGAACGACTCCGCCTAATAATGACTGGCCGACGTGTCTCGCAAATAAATCCAGGGGATGTCAATGTCGCTCAGCCATCATAAAACCACTCGCATGGTTTTACAAGGTTTGCCTTTCTGTGTCTGAGTTATAAAATACAAATATTGGCTAAATCACAACATGCTCACTAATTTCCATGGCAATCCTTTTATGATCCATTTTTATATAATACAATTGTTTTTCTAGGTAGATGGACACTGAGTGACCAGTAATTGATTCTTCTTTCTAAATTCACCTTGATAACAAAAAACTAGACCCCAACCAGTAAACAAACATATGTGGGAGACACTGAAAATGACAGCATTGGCTGATACAATTTTATACTTACATTTTAACTTTGTACTATAGTAGTAAAAACAACAGTTTTAATTACACAGTGCTTTACTACTTGATAGGATGACTGACCCAATCTGTTATCAACTTGCCACACAAATGAACTGCAGGAAGTGTTTGAAGCAGAAAATAAAGTCTTCATTAGAAAAGGAAGTCTTAAAATATAAATATTGTAGCACTGGGGGTGGAGCTACCCATAAGTCTTTTGGCAGCTTATTTTTCATTAGCAGTCTTCATAACAAAAGGTTTGGATTCACTGTATGTTTGTCATTCTAAAGATGGCAGTGTTTCGTATTCAGATTTAACAGTTCAGTCTGTACTACTACAATTTATTTCAACAGTGGGACTTCATTTTGGGTTCCCCAGTGGTGCAACTGTAAGGTTCCCGCCCTATAGTTGGGACGTTATCAGCTATAACGTGTACCAATAAAACAGCACGTAGTTAATAGCACCCAATATTGGCCAACCAACATATGGGTTAGGCCTTACAAAACATACAAGGCAAAAGCTCCAATTATTTATCCAAAAATGCTTCAGACGTGAAGTGCCACTACTCTGATTGTCCGCAATGCAACAGGCATAAACACGCACTGCATTAACCAACTGTGATTCACTAAGTGCAAAATTTACAAGATTAATTCTGATCAAATTCAACCAATGCTACCACCAACCATGTGTTTTTTTTAGCACATTAAGACTTTGGGCAAACCATTGTCAACAAGCGACACGAAACTACCAATAAACCAACCAACCAACCACCTCCTATGTATTTAACCGAATGAGCTTGCATTCTATCATTATAAGGATGTGATAAACAGCCATTTAGCTTTTTTTCCACCTCACAGATGCTCTTCATTAACCCTATATAGTAGATAGCAGGGGACAGAGGGTTAATGAATCAAAGGCTGGTCACTCCACAGTGCTCCATCAGAAAGGTGTCCACCCCCAGTCACAGTGAAGCTTTTGTCCATCTCCCCGTGCTCTCCATTAAATGGACCTCTGTATCACACCCACTTCTTATGACAACTCCCATACACACCTGCCGCTAGTACACAGGTGTTCAACTAATGCAGCAAATGTCAGCTAAATTTCTGAGCGTATGAAGAAGTGAAGAAGCCACAAAGTCATCAAAGACTGTTCTTGTTATATCTGCATGAAAACAGCACTGTAACTGTCTATTACGTAAGTACCTGAGTACCAATTTTGTGACTAGCAATTATTTTAACAATTAATCCAGTAATCAGAGTTTTAAAAAAATGGACTTTAACCTAAACAAATAATGAGAAAACATGTATATTAGTTATGCTTTGCAAACATTTCAGAGATTTCAGAAGATAAAATACGGGAAAAAGACAAGCTGATAAGCCTTGAAAAATCTAAAACAACACAGCAAGAAACGTATATACACATAAAAAACACTGTACTTTTATGAGAATTGTGGGCCGATGTATATATTCTAATCTTCTCATATACATATCTGACGATTAATATTATAGTGAAGTGTCGATTAACATTATAGAGAAATGTAATATTTATTCCTGAAGGGTTAGAAATGCAATAAAATCAATAAAAAGTAGACATTTTGGTGCAGATCTGCTCTTACAGATTAAATACATTATCAAATATTTGTCTGAAACAGTGGTCAAACTGAAACACCTGTCCAGTAGTGATTTTTTTTAAGCAAATATCTGTCAATAACGATGCAATTATAATATCATTGTGCATCCCTACAAAAAACATATTAAATTAACACCAAATTAACACAAATGGTCAGGGTCTATCGATGGGCCCAGTGTTTTATTACACATTTCTATAATCTAAGAACAGGTCAACCAGTTTGCACTAGTTTACAATAATAAGTCTTAGTATGTAATAAGCCTGGGATTTTAGGAGGTTAAAACATGCATTATTTCTACGCAAACCGCTAACAAATCTTGAGACGGTAAGTTTTAATCTAAATCAAGCTTAACTGAATAATCGTGACAGCCTTAAGTGACTATCATAAATGTGTATCTTACAAGTGTAAGAGCTAAAACACAGATCTGTTTGAAAAATATCACAGTTACATGCACATTCACACACAGGGAAACACTTCCTGCATCAGTTTACGGTCTTCATGAAACATTTAGCTCTGGCTTTAAGACATTAAAAATTAAGGGAGGTTGACACTGGCCACAGAGCTGTCCTGTCCAGGGGCACCTCGCTGCACAGTGCATTTTGCTAGCTTTAATATCCTCGGGTTAACACAGGAGCACACATTACACTTACATTCATATGGAATACATAATCAATTTAGACTTGCCAGATTTCACAGGACTGATTACTTTTGTGAATGTAAACTTGTAACTGCCCATTTTTCACTGCCAAAGGCCTTATTTTTTGCATACTGCACGTTTAAATCTCACAGCTTGCCTAAATGAAGCCTTCCTCTGAATCAGAGTATCTAATTAAGAAGTGATGTTTTTTGCAGGGTGGGTTAGAAATGACTACAGTATGGCCATTAACAGCGATAAGCAAATAAATAAATAAGCAACAGTCCATTAGATCTTAAGAGCATACCATTAACAGAGATCGCTCAGTTGGTGGTTAATGACTGTCTGTCTAAATCAAATCAAGCAACAAACACTAACTTCCTGTGCAGTAAATTGCTTTCTTCAAAACAACACCCGCCCCCTCTGATAAACACATAGGGCTTGCACGCACACACACACACACACAAAATACATCCCACTAAAGGCTAAAATGTGGCAATAATCTAATTCAGCTCAAAATATGCCTCATTACAAGTTGTGCTGACAAGACAGAGAGGAAGCAAAAAATCCACTAGAGTAGCCGCAAAAGCTCCTACACAGGACATTTGTCTTCCCTAACATGATCCATTACTGGGATGGGGAGACAGCCTAGGCTGTCCCATACTGGAAACAATACACTTACTGCTTCATTAAAAGTGAAAACCATGAGTGAGTGCTGTGCAGATGTGGAAATCTCTGACCCTACAGCAAGGCAACACACATTAACACTTAAGTTAAAGACGGGGGGCTTCAGCACATAAATGCCAAAATAAGCAACTCAATAAAATATCTGCAAAACTAATGTTTGAGGGCAAAGTTTCAGCAACGTCCAAACAGCTTTTCATCGAAACTGTGATTTACACTACACTTAAATTTCTCTATTTACCACAGAAGTTATCATCATCTTCCAAAGAGGAAAGTGAAATGTCACAATGTGACTAATTAAAAAAAAAGAGATAAACAAATCTATAACACTTTAAATAAAGGTCAAATAAACGTATTAAATTGCCTTTACTGTTCGATTTCACAACAAACAAGAAAAGTTTCATGTGAGGTGTGAAATTTTTACAACTGGTCACAAG